TCGGGGGCGACCGAGCCAGTGAGATGCTGAGGTGGCCAGCGAGCTCCGCCCTCCTGCATGCCTGTGATTGGGCAACCGGGGGAGGGGGGCGGATTTTTGCACCCCAGAGCCACATATGCTTAAGACAGCTCTGGCACTGGAACTACTAAAATAGTGCTTGAGCATGGGCTGAGATGGAAGTGATGTTGGTTGGCGATTTGGCTACCTGAATGCCATTTATTATGCTTCTGGATAGGACTGCACTCCCTCCGGTGTGCTTGGCGGTTTGAGGGGGTGCTCCTTGAACCATCTCTGTCACTTGGAGGCACAGATTTCTCCTGTTGAATGGAACACCTTTTACCAATTTAGGTAGGCTGACTTGTCAGCTGCAGTCCCATCTGGACAAGAGACTGCATGGTCTCACTGATTCTTGCTCTGGTGTTTACAGTGGTACCTACCTCGGTTTTCGAATGTAATCTGTTCTGGAAGACTGTTTGACTTCCGGGTTACTTCTGGGTTTTTGGTGTTCAAAAACTGAAACGTTTGACTTCCAAGATGTTCGAAAACCAAGGTACCACTGTATAGCCACTTTCTCCTGGAATCGTGCATTGAGGCTCAACAGTGCAGGAGTTGAAACTTGGTATGTTGTTAAAGCAGTTCCATGAACTTCAGAGCTTGACTCTTGATGCATGTCTTTCTGTTGCAGCAGATACAGTGGTACCTCGCAAGACGAATGCCTCGCAAGACAAAAAACTTGCTAGACGAAAGGGTTTTTTGTTTTTTGAGCTGCTTCGCAAGACGATTTTCCCTATGGGCTTGCTTCGCAAGACGGAAACGTCTTGCAAGTTTGTTTCCTTTTTCTTAACACCGTTAATACAGTTGTGACTTGACTTCGAGGAGCAACTCATAGAACGCGGTGTGGTAGCCTTTTTTGAGGTTTTTAAACACTTTGGTGATTTTTGAAGCTTTTCCAAAACTTTCCCGACACCGTGCTTCGCAAGACAAAAAAAATCGCAAGGCAACAAAACTCGCAGAACGAATTAATTTCGTCTTGCGAGGCACCACTGTATACTGTCTGCTTTCGAACAATGTCTGCAACCAGATCTTCCTCATTGCCCACAGCGGAAACCGAAAATTCAGCTTTCCCGTTCTGCAGATTGCAATTGAAAGCCAAGGAATGCATTGGGGTTTGGATCCCAGCTATGGGCTAGTATCCTTAGTTTTCCACTTCAAATGTTTCCAGAAAACCCACATCACTGAATGCAACTGATTCTTTCCAGATATGCAATGGATCTCTACCAGCTTCACTATACCCTTGGTTGGCTCCGGGGGCTACACCACAACATGGGGGGCTGCCGTGATGAGCCCTGAAAGGCCTGGGAAGTGGGTGGAGCAACTGCAGGTGCAGATCTTGGTGGTAGTAGCGAACATTCAAATGAGAACTGGAGAAGGGTTCCATGTCAACATCGGTAGAATGTGGGCCAGTCGTCCTAAGAGATAGGAAAACACCATTCTGAAGGGATGGGTGATTGCCTCCATTGCCGTTGGCCAATCAGGGTTCAGATCCCTGAATCCAGAGTGGCAGAGACGGGCACCACCAGGAGGGTAGGACCCGAACCAATGTCTCAAGTTGTCAGAAAGGAGGTTCTGATTAAACATCAGGAAGAACTTACTGGCAGTAAGAACTGTTCGACTGTAGAATGGACTCCCTTGGTAATGATGATTATGAGTTTACGCTGTACAAATATAATTATGAACAATAAAGATTTAAAAAGAAAGAAACAATGGACTCCCTTGGAAGGTTGTGGATCCTCCTTCGTTGGACTTTTTAAGCAGAGGGACACGGGTGGTGCTGTGGTCCAAACCACAGCACCTAGGGCTTGCCAATCAGAAGGTCGGCGGTTCAAATCCCCACGACGGGGTGAGCTTCCGTTGTTTAGTCCCTGCTCCTGCCCACCTAGCAGTTCGCAAGCCCGTCAAAGTGCAAGTAGATAAATAGGCACTGCTCCGGCGGGAAGGTAAAAGGTGTTTCTGTGCGCTGCTCTGGTTTGCCAGAAGCGGCTTAGTCATGCTGGCCACATGACCCGGAAGCTGTCTGTGGACCAACGCCGGCTCCCTCGGCCTGAAAGCGAGATGTCCCTGTCTGTGCTACAAAAAGGATGTGGGGAGACAGTGAGGCACCAAGAATGTGGATACAAAACCCATGCTTAGATATTGAATGAACAGCATGGCATCCGTTCACCACAAGACGACCAGGCAACTGATTACAGCAAGATTGTCACAAATGGGAAACACTTTGAATGCTCAAAAGGGCTTCAGTCTTCACTGTATCTTTCCTCTTTCTCGTGATATTCTTTCTTAAGCTCTGACTTCTAGCAACAACTCTCTCTCTCTCTCTCTCTCTCTCTCTCTCTCTCTCTGTGTGTGTGTGTGTGTGTTAAAGGCATACTTAAAATTTGCTTTAAAAGATGCAAATTGTCTCATCTTTGATAGTGGATGTTGACATGAAATCTAATGAGGGAAGATATCAATTGTCATAAGCGTTAATTTAAGCTGTTTATTTTATCATCAACATGTAGCTCCTTTGAGACCATGGGGGGTGGCTTGAGTAGCGCAAAGGAGAAGACTGTTGTTTTCAAAAGCAGCATTAGTTTGATCATTTATAAATTCCTGCACGCCAGCTGCGTGCCTAGATTATTCATGCTACTACAATTAATACCATTAAGGAGGAAACACAGGCGTCCTTGGGAGACTATTGCTGAAAGGTGTCAGATCTTAAACCAGGTTCTGTTGCTCCGCGTAAAATATAACCAGAAGTTGCTTCTGTGATTGTATTGTAAACAGCTGTGATCCACCCTGGGCCCTTCACGTGAGGGGCAGACAAAAGCCAAATTTAAAACAACAGCCACTGACGCTCTGTCTCCACTAATGAAAAGCTAAGCGAAGTACCCATTTGTGGGACAAGTATAAAGGAAGAATATGGCAAGGCTCATTTTAAAAGGGTGAAATGAGGAGGTTTGTAAATGTGTCTTTACTCTTTCCAGGTTTGAAGAAGACTCTTCTTCACCCAAACCCAGCCCTACCATTCAGCGGAGTGAGGCAGCCACCTCAGGCAGGAAGCCGATTTGGGGTGTTGTGAAAAAGTACCAAAATGGTTCATTATTTCAATTTTCCTTGTTTTTGGACTGCCGGGGGAGGTGAGGTATTTTATGTGGGATTTTCTGCCTCACGTGCCAAAATAATTTGGGTACTATGTAGGGAGGTATGAATATATAGATTTCAGCTTCTCATTTTTCCAACCATAAGTTCAGTTCTCCACATTGCTACATTGGTTTGCAATTTTTTTTTTTTAAAGCCCTCACCAGAATTCATGAGCATTTTAGTGCAGATTTCTCTAAAACACACCCATTTTTTCTATGTGATTTGGGCTTATATACACACCTTTGTTGTTGTTGTTTAGTCCTTTAGTCATGTCCGACTCTTCATGACCCCATGGACCAGAGCACGCCAGGCACTCCTGTCTTCCACTGCCAGCTACAGTTTGGTCAAACTCATGTTGGTAGCTTCGAGAACACTGTCCAACCATCTCGTCCTCTGTCGTCCCCTTCTCCTTGTGCCCTCCATCTTTCCCAACATCAGGGTCGTTTCCAGGGAGTCTTCTCTTCTCATGAGGTGGCCAAAGTATTGGAGCCTCAGCCTCAGGATCTGTCCTTCCAGTGAGCACTCAGGGCTGATTTCCTTCAGAATGGATAGGTTTGATCTTCTTGCAGTCCATGAGTCTCCTCCATACACACCTTTACTAAACAATTTTCATGAATATATGCATTTATATGCACACTTTACCCTCGTGTATGCATTTTTGAATACGCCAGTTGGAAAACTGCACTGCAAAATTTGGAAAAAGTCTGTTCCGGTTCTCATCTTTTTCAGAAAATGTAAGTTAGGTAAGTTTACCTTAAAATGCAAACTGAATCAAATGCCCCTCCCCCTTCCCCTACGTTCCTTGACTTGGACTATGGGAAGGGTAGCAAAGTGTCTTGGACCAGCCCTGAGACTGAGGAACACCACCCTTTGCACTAGCTCAGTGAAAACGTTGGTTTCTAAAAATCTGGAGGGAGCTTCCTTTCACAATCAAGAAACCTCGGCCTGTCAGTTGTACACCCACCTTCCCATTTTATGCCAAAGCTGATGACTAAATTCCAGGATTACAGCCTGGTATGTTAACGTGATTTTTAAAGGGTGGGGACATGCCCCAATCTGCCGTTTGAAGAGAGACAATCCCTGCCTGAGTTTAGGAGGCTTTTGAGAGCATTGTTTTCCTCTCTTGCCTATCCCAGCGTGCTGCATTAAACCCTTTGGACTCACGTAACACGTATGAGTAGGTGGCCCTTCACCGAGTTGCCTCTACTTGCCTCTGTTTGCTGGAGTTGAGAAAGCCATTTCTATGCAATGGCCCTTGAATTCTTCTCTGGGTCCTTTTCACCTTCGAAAAGGCAGACCGCTTGTTCATCGAGCATTCATCCTGATTTGCTTGCAGGGTGTTCAGATGTCTTCCTTTCGGCTGTTTGTTCATCCTACGCCTTTCTGTGTATTTGCTGCGGACCACAAAGCACCCAATTCTTTTATGAAGTGGATTTGTCTTGCTAGGGCAACAGGGCCCTTGAATCCCCTTTAACTGTGCAAACCTAAAGTTCCAATGTGCTTGAATGCCTTCAGTCTAGTGAAGCCCAAACTCATAAGAAGGCAAGCCAGACCAATAGTCCAGTCCAACCTGGAGATACTACGGATTGAATCTGAAGCTTTCTGGCATGCAAAGTCTGCTCTATCATTTGCGCTACAGTCCAGCTATTTCAGAGTCAAATAGGAGGTTTGCTGAAAGGGAGAGAGGAGGGAAGTACTTATTGAATGCATAATAGCAAAGTTCAACTACTATCTACATTGGGCAAAGATAGTGTCTATAGTAATAGATCAAGGTGCAAATAACAGGCTCTACCATTTTTAATAAAGGATGGCACACATGCTTTCATCGGCAGTTACGTTTAATGAAGACAGTGCATTTTATTTACATAAAACATACCACACACTCCTCGTAGCCATGAAATGTAGAGCGTGTACAGTACAAAGACCAAATTGTACTTCAATTACATGCTGAATAAAACAAGATTAAAGTAATTTGTTGTGGCGCAACAACGAACACGTAAAGAAATAAATAATCCTCACAATGAACTGACGTTTCTGTATACTGCCTACTTAAAAGTGCAAAACGGTTCCTGAAAATCGGAGGATATTTTGTAAAGTTTAAAATCCAGAAAAGACAAACCTAATCAGCCCAAAGGTGTAGCTGATTGTTGAAGGTTTCAGTGCCCAGGAAAAAAGAAACATTATTATTTTGAAAATATGTTGTGCATATTGTGCTCTTTCTGAAGAAGTGTTGTGGGTTGTTGTTGTTTTTTGCAAGTTTTTAATGCTCCCCCCCCTCCTCCAAACTATCATTACTTTTTTCCTGGCATTTTGTAAAATCCTGATTGGCAGTTTAAAGAAAAATCCCAAAGGAAATGAAATGTAAACAAATATGTACCTAAGTATTAGAGGCCCAGTCAATGCTCAGGTTAACTTAAGTGGCCACAATGCTCTACTGTAGTAAGGCAAATGTGGTTAAGAGCTGACTTAAAAAATATAATTCTCTTACAGGGAAAGGCTTTTTTTGACTATTCTCTGAATACTAAAGCCATGGCAATTCGTAACTGTACCTTGTTTTCTGCCATTAGGTATTTTATTTTTAATTTTTCTTTTGCTACTGAAGCTCTTGAGAGCCAAACATGCAAAACCAAGGGCAGAAGTTGGCCTTCAGTTTGATAATGTATTAGAAAATACTGCTATTTCTTTTATTAGATAAGAGAACCCACCTATACATTCACTGGAAACGGCAGAGGTTATAGGTTCAACTTTTCACCAGCTGTTATACCATTTTGCTTTGGGTGTCCTCTTTTTCTCTCCTCCTTTTTAATTTCTTAAATAAAGATTTATTTTATATACAAGACGTTTCGTGTGTTTCAAAACGAACCAGAAGTATATATAACACCAGTAATCTCCCAGCTACAGCTCACGACCTCTTCAAACAGCCTCTGCTATTTCTCAGGGAAGGCAGGTACCATTGTGCGTTAATTACCTAAGATGTTAGAATCTGTTGTTGCTTATTTTTGCAGTGGCAGTGCAGTAGCACAGAAAGTCGAACAAATGACCTTGTACCGGAGGGAAAGGGGAAGGTGTAATCACTTGAAAGGTTTTAAGCACGTCGTGGTTCTAGCCGGTGCGACATCTGTGATAAAGTCCTCTGGTTGTCAATCACACTTAATTGCCGAACGTAACTCCGGACATCCTGATGGTTCTTATTCACCAGAGATGCGTCGGGATCTGATGAAACAGAAGTGATGTGCTATTGGTACGCTTAGTCAAACGCAAATCTGAGCAGAACAAGACAAGCCACACAGCCTTCCACCAGCAGAATAATATATAAACATGCAAAGCCAGAACGCCACATTCACAAAGCCCCGTCCTTCCCTCCCTTTCAAATTAACCTTGCTGCATTCTTCTGTAATCCTCGTCCCACAAATTGGTGCTTCGTTTAGTTCTCCTTGGTTATTTTTCACAAACACTGGAGGAACGGTGTGCATTATTTTATCAGCATAGGTAACCTGATTAAAACCCCAAAACCTTGATATCTCTAGTAAAATGACTCAGGAGGCACACCCTGATTTCAGTAGAATTAGATTGTGCCTCTAACATAGGCTGTAACTCCAGATTGTGTTCGCAGCCTTGTGGCATAAAGGGAACAACTGTATCAGTAACAACACACATATTTTGATACTTACTGAAAGGCTGGCTCCGGCAGAATTTCACTGTCCTAACGGTTTTTGAAATCATACGCTGAAAGGAAAAATAATAGCCAACCATATTAAAACCATCGTCCTGCATGTGGCAAGCAAGCCTGTCAGAATTAAAAAGGGTTTAGTCTAGACTTCCTCCCCATTCCAGGAGCCCAATATACTACTTTTCTATAGGCATGTCTCTTTTAACATGGGGATGCATTTATAGATGGACTGCTCCACCTATGTTCAGAAATGATAAAATGCCCCACACATGCTTTTCTGCAGTATCTGAACAAGCTCTCTGAGGCTTTTCCAGCAACAATGAGGCTTTTCCAGCAACCCAAGCAAATCACCATGTGGGATCAAACCAAGGCTCTATTTATAATTCAGCCTGGTGTCTTCCAGAAGCTTTGAAACAAAAAGACCATCAGCCCCAGCTAGTATAGCTAATTGTCAAGGATGATGGGTGTTGTAGTAAAAAAAACCCCAAAAACACCTGGAGGATACCAGCTTGAAGAAGGCTGATAGGACATGGAGACAATTTGCCTTCTTTTTTTGTCGCCCCCAGGTATCTGCTATTCAGAAACACACTGCTTGTGAACAAGGAGGCAAGATTCTGCTGTCCTATCTGTTGAATCAATTTGTTTAATCCTTTTTCTGTTCCGGTAAAATCTTTTCAGTGACCTCCTCCATGCTGAACAGGTGTTTATTTATGTTTCATTCTTACATTTACCTGGGAGTGTTTTAAAAAACCATGCAGTACCAAACATTTGGAAACAGCAGTGAACACAAACACAACATTCCCGTAGCCACATCTACCGAAAGGTACTGTACCAAAGAGGAATGGTTGCCAAGGACTCTTTCAGACCAATACGACTCAGGAAAACATATAACTGTACAATGCACGGACCCTTTGCATTTTTTTTTAATTTATGGTTATAAATCTGGTTCTTTTTATTATTTTTCATTTAGGAATTTGGCTTTGGAACTGGTTGTAAAGCTGGCCTTAGTAATGTTTCATAAGGGAAATAGTAGATCAGGGTTTCCCCAAATGTGGCTCTCCAGATGTTTCGGGACTACAAATCCCATCATCCCTGACCACCGGTCCTGCTAGCTAGGGATGATGGGAGTTGTAGTCCAAAAACAGCTGGAGACCCACGTTTGGGAAACCCAGCAGCAGATTGTTGACTCTACTTACAAATTCAAACGTCTAAGGGATAACAAAGAGTTCAAAGTTCTGCAAAAAAAATGCAGTCGTACCTCGGAAAAGTCGAACGGAATCCGTTCCGGAAGTCCATTTGACTTCCAAAACGTTCGGAAACCAAGGTGCGGCTTCCGATTGGCTGCAGGAAGCTCCTGCAGCCAATCGGAACCCATAGAACCCGCGTCGGACATTCGGGTTCCAAAAAACGGTTGCAAACCGGTTCGGGAGCCACAACATTCAACTCGCAAGGTGTTCAGGATCCAAGGTACAGCTGTAATAATAATAATCCCAACCCAACAACACTCACACACATGCAACCCCCACCATCAAACTGTTTGCTAACTTTGTATCCCCCTCCCCCCCAAAAATAGTTTAAGTTTTCCCAGTGTGGTTTGGAACTCCATTGCTGGAAAGTTATGCAGCACTAAATCTGGATCCCTCCACAACAGAGCCAACCATACATTACAATGAATTCTCCAGGCTGGCCCCGTCATCTCGACACCCTCACCCTGCAGTTCCAATTCAGCTTGCAGCCAGCCTAGAATAGTGGCAGCAAGCCAGGACATTTTCTGCTAATCCATTCCTAGACCCAGGCTCCAATGTTGTTATAAATATTCATACCACACCACACAAAAACCACTAAGGGTTTAAGTCACATACTTCACTTTTTTTTTTTTTTGCATAATCTTTATGTTCCAAAAACGAAAGAATGCTTGCCCTCTCTTCCCCCGCCCCCCCATAAGGATCAGTGCGTGGATTCCTTTTGTTCAGCTCCATAAAACCTGAAAACCAATATGCACAAATTCGCTAATCCTCATTTCACACCTCAAGGGTGAAGAGTCTCAGTAAAAAGGAGAACCAGTGGCTGGTGGCACTATTTTTGTACGGCCATGGATGGAGAAGCTTGTGTTGCAGAGGCGTCTTGGAATGCCCCTATGGGCTGCTTTTCAGCAAGTACCATGACAGCGATATTCTCGCGAAGCACATTAGATAAGTGCCACCAGAAGCTCTTTTCCTGATGCAAGGAATTTGGGGAGTGGGGAGAGAGACAGGGACAACAGTGGAATCTGTTCTTGTGCATCTTGCTTTTCCATCAGGAAGGCATGTTCCTCTCATGGCCAACTCCAGGCATAAAGGCAAAACTCTCTAGCTAGGCCCCCAGCTATGCACCTGCAGTTCTTCGCATAGCTGTCAACTTACAGATTTGAAAATAAGGGACCAGCAGCCTCGAAAATAAGGGATCGGCAGCCAAAATAAGGGATTTTCCCAGCACAGGTATGTTCAACTTCTGAGCCCCTCTGAGCCAAAGGCAGAAAGTCCAGCCAGCAGCCAAATGAAGCCTCAAGCGGTGGTTCCCACAGCACAACAACTCAGCAAAGGGGATGCAGCAAGGAAAACCACTGTCACCTCTCCGCTGGGAAGCGCTGAGCAAAGGCGAGTCCCCAGGCAACGCAGCCGATTTGATCGGCACAAGGCATGCAAGCTCCATCCCCCAGTCGTTCTTAGACTCCTTATTGGGTGAGCAACGCAGCCAAGCAGCACAGTTGGAGCCTCCCTCCTCCCTGGCCGGCAGGGAGGGAGGGAGAGGAGCTGCTTCCTTTGAAACTGGGGAAATTTAAGGGACATCATCAATCCGGGACAGCAGCGGGACATGGCGCTGGGATAAGGGACTGTCCCGCCAAATAAGGGACGCTTGACAGCTATGGTTCTTCGTCTACCTTTACCTACAACAGAAGCCTTGATTTTTTTTCTTGGTCAGGTTAGGAGCCACAGTTTTGCAGCTGCATTTTATCCCCATTGCCTGGATCAGGCAAAACAGGACTGGGAGAAGATGCTGTGTCGGTAAGTGACAGGTAGGTTAGTGAAGACTGGATTTTAAAAAAAAAAAACCCTGACCAGGACTCCTGCGCCTTTCGGGAGTTGTGCAAAAAGGCAAATTTCTGCAGCTTTTGTCATTCCTGCATGAAAAGTGGCACCTGCCAGGACGCTTTCTTTAGCGCAGCTATTAAAGACAGAGAAGGCCTGTCCTTCTAGGCCTCTAGTCCCCCCCCCCCGACAGCACCGATGCCAAATATTTGACTGCATAATTCGTCCTGGAGAACTCACTAGCCTGACAGGTGAATGGCAGCCTCACAGAATCAGGCAATTTGCAAAACTGGGTTCTGTTTTTTTTGGTGGTGGTGGTGGGGAATTAAAGCCACACTGGGCTTGATTTTTGGCACAGATTAAGTCACAACTCTCCCAAACAGCAGACGATGCGGCAAACCTTCATCTCTGGGATGTACTGAATGGTCTTTCGGGCAAAAACCAATGTTCCCTGCATGTAGAAAATGGGCATGTGAGGGGAAATCTAAGGCCTTTATCTCCCTGACCTTTTTTAAAAAAAATAATATATTATTTACCTCACAAATAATTTCTCCAGACAACTACACTTTACTAATATTCAAAATATTTTGTTGCTATGGTTATTATTTTATTATTTGCACAGAAAACTATCCGTTCACAAGAGCTACGTTGGCATGCTTAAAGTTAGAGACCTGCAACATTAAAAAAAACCGGGCCTTTGTCGTACTATAGGGGTGCTAACTCAGACAAAAAGGCCTCTGAATTTGTGGTCTAATGCAGACAGTCTTTACGGTCTCCAGGGATGCCACTGCCTGCTCAACATGCTGTACCAAATCCATTAGGAAAATTGAAATAGTTTTAAAATAGCTGGGGTTTTTTTAAATAATAATAAAAAATAGTACAGTGTGATTAACATGCCATTACACAATCCATTGACTTGGTATGTGAGAGGCTGCCCTCTAGAGGCTGATTTGGAGAACAGGTAGTCTGAGAAGTGAAAGGAAAAAAGAGAAAAAGAAAGGAAGCAGCAGAATTCTATTAACTGATGTGTGTCAAGGAAGTCCGTTTCCTAAGGAAGCAGGAAATTCCAGGTAGATCAGAATATGCCTAACCATTGGCATTTGCCAGCAAAATTAGCTACTGAGAGAAATTAGGCAGATAAATAATGATTTTGGTAAGAGAACTTGCTGTGGCTTCGTTGGCAGTATATAGATGAGAAACGCTAACCTGCAAGGGGCAAGTAACTTTAAAACATGTTTTTTATGCTGGATCCATGGAATTGAATCAGTGGTTCATTTATTTGCCAATCACTTTAAAGCATTTCCAAACTGCTTAGGATTTCAAAATATGCAAGTGGAATAAAGTGGTACCTCGGGTTACATACGCTTCAGGTTACAGACTCCGCTAACCCAGAGATAGTGCTTCAGGTTAAGAACTTTGCTTCAGGATAAGAACAGAAATCGGGTTCCGGCAGTGCGGCAGCAGCTGGAGGCCCCATTAGCTAAAGTGGTGCTTCAGGTTAAGAACAGTTTCAGGTTAAGAACGGACCTCCGGAACAAATTAAGTACTTAACCCGAGGTACCACTGTACATAAAAGCAACAAAAAAGTATACAGTATATACCTTGGAAGTTGAACGGAATCCGTTCTGGAAGTCTGTCCGACTTCCAAAACGTTTGGAAACCAAAGTGCGGCTTTGATTGGCTGCAGGAAACTCCTGCAGCCAATCAGAAGCCCCTTCGGACATTCGGCTTCTAAAAATACTTTACAAACCGGAACAGTCACTTCCGGGTTTGCAGCGTTCAGGAGCCAAAACGTTCGAGAACTAAGCTGTTCAAAAACCAAGGTACGACTATACTTAAAAACACAGATCTGCAACCCAGAAATGCAATAGATTTTACTCTGAACTGAAACCTGCTGCCCTCTGAAATATTTTCCAGTCTGAAAGCCTGCCTTGTCCTGGGGCCAGCCTTCTACTCAGCCCTTTTTGTACAACTATGGGGTGGACCCACATCCCAAAAGCAATGGGAATCAGCCCCCCCCATTTCTATAGGATGCAGGTAACGCCCAGTGCTCAGCCATCACTCTTACAGAGCCATCGAAAATCTTGCTTTAGTAATATTCCCTACTTACCATTTTTTCAAAGTTCACTAGATTGTCGATGAAGGTCTTGTTCCCTTCATGGATAAATGTCATGTCTGCAATACAAATAAAGGCACCACCTGTGTAACTGGCAATAGTTGAATCCGACATAGATAGATATCCAGTCACTGAGAAGATGGACCAACTTTTTCACTTCCTACATGCTATTGCCCATTCAGAGCATTTACTTGTAAAAAGTAAAAGAAAAAGAAAAAAGTAACATTTAGACAGTAACGCTTAGATTTGTGAAAGAACCTTTTTCTTTCTTAGGGAAACGGGGATCAAAAGTATCATTTGAGATGATGATGATGATGATGATGATGACATGCTCTTCACCCCCTTCAGATAGTTACCTTTTATGAGTAAAGGCATGAATGGAATAACGGGAGGTTGAAGTTTAGCTACCGTCAGTCTGTAGGCCCTGTGATTTCTTGATGGATCCTGGGGGGGGGGGGGGAGACATAGTCAGACCAGTGCAAGTATTTCGTAAAATACAAATATTTGTTAGTTAACAGTTGTGGATTTTTTTTTTAAATGTAATAATTTCATAACCTAATTTATGCTTCGTTCATAATAAGGATAGTCTTCTTTCAACACTTCTTTGGAAAGATAGTAATCATCCATTTCATTAGCTGCCTGTTCCTTATAAGTTACGTGCTGTCTGATGAGAGTGTAATTACTTAACAAAAGAAGTGTTTATTATCAAAAGGGAAAATACAGCTAGAGGTGTAGTTATTAGACAGTGTGCTTATCTGAAGAAGAGAACTGTTGCATGCTTCTCCTTTATGCATTCGCTGAGCCATCTCTATAAAACTCTAAAACCATAAATCTGTAACAATAATGCATGCAGGTTGGAATATAGAATCTAGCAGAAATATCAAGGGAAGATAAAGTTTTCTAAATTTCCCAGGCCGATTTTAAGTAGGGCATATATTTTCTCAGAATAGGCTCCCTGAGAGTATAATTTATTAGTCATACATGCTTGTTTTATCAGTGCTGTGGCGGGCTCATAAACTCCTTAAAGTCACACAAGGACACATAAAACGTTGGGAAATAGACAAATTCAGATCAGGTGTTCAGAACCCAGGGTGAATCCAGGTAGCGCACACTTAAGCATTAAGCCAGTTACCATTAAGCTTTCAAACTCTGCATAGATCTTCTTGAACTTGCTCGGAAGTTTCTGTCAATAAAAGAGACAAGCACACATGTGGGAAGCCTGTAACCGAATCAAGATGGACTGAACTGTGTGTGCGGCGGACTGAATTTGCCCAGCGCACAGTTCCTACAACACAGCCCCGAGATGGAAAAAGACTTGCTCTTTTGCCACAGGTTTACAACAATGCAGCTGCGCGCGGGGGGGGGGGAATACAGTAAGTCTCCTAGCAACCAGATTATAAATAGAGAGCCACGAAGCTTTTAGCCGTTTGGGATCCAAAATACACCCCACCCCTCCCCCAATACCCTGGGAAATGCCAGAGAGATTTTCTCTTGGTTCGCAGAGGTTATGGAGCAGCAAAGCGGTCCACATGCCAGTGTGGATTTCCCAGCGTTCAGGGTTTGTTTGGTTTTTGTTTTTTTTGTGGGGAGGGGATGAAGAAGACACATCTGTTTCAAGTTTCACGTCGGCCCCATCTTTAGTGCAGCGCATTTAAGAAATAAAAAATGACGTCCTTGGGAGCAGTGATCTGGCGAAATTATTTACATTAAAGGACAACAGACCTCTGCAATGTGTACACAGGCCAATCGTTCCTCAAGTGCGCACTTCCGGAAGGTGCTGTATAATATGAACGACCGCATATAATCTGAGCTAGCTCTGGAACCAAAGGTCGCTGTTTCTCTCCCTCTCTCTCTCTCTCTCTCTCTCTCTCTCTCGCCTTTGTCATCATTACTGGAACACGTATGACTAAGGTCAGGATCCAACAAATGTATACACTAGTTCTCTGAGCCACAGGGGACTTTCGACTTGTTGTTTTTTACCGTATTTTTTTGCTCTAGAAGACGCACCAGACCACAAGACGCACCTAGTTTTTGGAGGAGGAAAACAAGAAAAAAAATATTCTGACTCTCAGAAGCCAGAACAGCAAGAGGGATCGCTGCGCAGTGAAAGCAGCAATCCCTCTTGCTGTTCTGGCTTCTGGGATAGCTGCGCAGCCTGCATTCGCTCCATAAGACGCACACACATTTCCCCTTACTTTTTAGGAGGGAAAAAGGGAGTCTTATAGAGCAAAAAATACGGTAAATGACCATCACAGGAACATAGGAAGCTGCCTTATGCTGAGTCAGACCATTAGGTCCACTGAGCTCATTAGCATCCCCGTTGACTAGCAATGGCTATCCTGGGTCTCAGGCAGAGAATCCTCCCCAGCCCTCCCTGGAGATGGTAGGGATTGAACCCAAAACCTTCTGCATGCCAATGAGTACGACTGTACTCATTTTAAACATCTTTTTTTTTATCTAACACTCAATTGTGGCCCAGTGCAGGCTTCTGAATACCAGTTCCTGCTTGTAGGCTTCGCATAGGCATCTGGTTGGCTACTGTAAGAAAAGGATTCTTAATAATAATAATAATTTATTTATACCCCGCCCATCTGGCTGGCTTCCCCAGCCACTCTGGGCAGCTTCCAACCAATATTAAAATACAGTAATACATCAAACATTAAAAGCTTCCCTAAACAGGGCTGCCTTCAGATGTCTTCTAAAAGTCTGGTAGTTGTTGTTCTCTTTGACATCTGGTGGGAGGGCGTTCCACAGGGCGGGTGCCACTACCGAGAAGGCCCTCTGCCTGGTTCCCTGTAACTTGGCTTCTCACAGCGAGGGAACCGCCAGAAGGTCCTCGGCGCTGGACCTCAGTGTCTGGGTAGAACAATGGGGGTGGAGACGCTTCTTCAGATATACTGGACTGAGGCCATTTAGGGCTTCTCAACTAGTTGGGTCACTGGCCTGATCCAGCACAGCCCTTCTTATGTTTGGTTCCACTGAAACTGTAAACTATGGTAAATGGTTTACAGTGAATGCAGAGATCACTACTGCTTCACTCCTCCCTTAGCACAAGCAATGGCACAGAACCACAATCCCAGGGCTTAGTGTGATGAAATCACTAGGAACCGCAACTTGTTTTGCTCTGAACAAACCATGAATGGTAAGAGAAAAGGAAATCTTGACTTCATCTTGTGGTCTGTGGTGCCCGGTCCAGACGTAATGCTCAGCTAGGGATCGCGGTTCATTCTTCCCGACAGGGGAGGAGCAAATTGGGAGAAGTCTCTGCATTCGTGGTGAACTGTCAATGATGGTTTACCATGATGTGCAAAAGCAGAAAAATCAAAGGAAGAAATGAAAGGCGGCAACATTTGTAGAACTAGGATTTACTCTGCACTCACCTCCCATGTCATTGTGAGGCGGCTTACCGCGACGTTGCTCAGTCCCATGATCAAAGCGAAAAAGGAATTCAAGTTTTTGTATTCCTTGCAACTAGAAAAGAAGAGGTTCACAGTTTGATTGGGCGGGGGGGGGGGGGACAAACTGAGAATCAGAAAGCCTGGCTTCTAGAGTGCTTCTATATTTTGGAAGTATTCATCCAGACAAGTCTTATTATCGTGCTTGGAAGGATATCCTACTGTATTTATTTTAGACTAACCCCTTCGGTTGCAATTCTGAGCATATTTTCTCACAAGCAAACCATCTGAATCACCCGGACTGACTTCCAAGTTAGCCTCTTGAGGATTACAGCAAATCACAAGCAATTGTGAAACAAGAAAGGTTTAATAATACACCCACAATGTCACCACTTAGCGTCTTATTCTGATACTCCTTAAAAGTCCTCTTCATACCGCTTTATTTTTGTTCTACGTATTTCTTAATTCTCTTCCACTCAATAAACACCATCCTCTGGGCATTTCCAAAAAACAATGCTCACTTAGCTAGGTTTTGGGAGTCCCATTCAGCAGAAATTCAGCTTCCAATTTAGAGAAACAAAAGTAACATAACCTGCTAAGAGACAAAGGCCGAATTCAAATGTTGCTTCTGTTGGTACAAGGGGACATTTCCCCATAAGATCCTATAGTGTTCTGGTAACCTACATGCTAATTTTTATCTCTGCTGTTGTTAGTTTTTAATGTTGTATTTGCATTTATGTTTTGATGTATGCCGCCCAGAAAATTAACTATGGGGGAGGAAAAAACTATAGGGGGAAAAATAAGTTTTATACATCTGAATCATGCTCGGGTGGGGGAAATCACATATGTATTCTCCGTGCCAAACCTTCCCCTTATCTGTGATGAAATTGTCACGGGTAATACCCCCAGAATGCTCAGCACCCCAGCACAGGACTAGTCAAGTTCTCGGACTCCAACTCCCATCATGTCACTTGTCAGGCACGATGGGAGCTGCAGTTCAGTAAATATCTGGAGGTGGTTTGTGGGAAAGAGACTGTGACGTTAACATATATGAGAGAGTGGTGGAGGGGAAATAGTTAAACAGGTTGCACAGAAAGGACCCAGGGGGGTGGAGTCAGTGGGACTATACAACCAGTTCTGGGAGGAGTTGGTTGGGAGTTGTGGGTGGGTAGTTGGTTGGTTGGTTTTAGTGGGTTGGCTGGTTGGGAAAGGCAGTTGGTAATAGACAGTTAGGGCAGTGGGTTCTTGAGTGTGGGGAGGTAGAAGAGATAGAGAGAGGAAAATAAGACTAAGAAAGTAAAGAGCAACCACGTTTGGAATGCCGTAAAAATTTTGTTTGTGTCTGAAATAAAATACCCTCTTCTTTATTAATTGAGAAGCTGACTGACACTGAAGTGATTTTACTGGGGAGGACCTGGTTGGTGGCAGCGGATTAGTGGTGTACGGGTCAATAGTCCGTGAGATGACCGGGGGTTCCGTACGAACGCCACAGAGACATCTGGGCTAAACTGTTAGGTTCTCTGCTACTGGTTTAGGACAAGGCTGGGGAATCTTTTTTTCCCCCTATGAGGGGCCTTTAACCCATGGGGAAAAGCAAAAGTGGACCACACTTCATGGCGGAACAAGCAAGAACCAAAAGTGGGTGGAGCAAATAACATAAGGAGGAGCCATTCCTTCTCTCTCTCTCCCTTTCTTTGGGAATCCAGACAAATCTATGGGCCACATGGTGCTTCCAGAGTTTTCTGGATCACAGCAAGTTCACATGGGTACAGCTTGAGGCAAGTCATTCACAAACAATATCCCTTCACATCCTTGAAATTCACCTATTTTGAGCAAAACTACATTTGATCGACCTCATGATCCCATTACATTTTCCTGTTTCACTGTATAGTTAACACACACACAAAAAAAACATGTTGCCATAGTAGCGATTTTTTTTTTTACTGCGAAGAACAGCTCCACGAAACTGAAATAACAGAAATAAGATGTCATCGTTTTATATTAGGAATATGAAATCTGCCCAAGTATTTGCATTCAATAAATAAAAAAAGATCCCGAGAACTTTAGCTATTTCTAATTTACAGAGGGGGGGGGGATATTGACATAAACAGGAGGTTGTCAAACGGGAATTAACATGAGGTTAATCCTGTAAGTAGTAATTCTGGGATATTAGTTATCTGCTTGCCTCAGGCAATGCTGATGTTTTCCCTGATATATTTTTTCCATACTAAAAGTAAATGTTCATCAGTATTTGTGTGCCTGGGGGACGGGGGCTGTGGTTTTTTTTAAAATAGTGTATATAAGGAAATTGTTCAAATTATTTAGCTTAATGAAATTTATTCCTATTTTCTGCTAATGATTAGGAAAAGGAACCACATTTTGTTCTTATCTATATGTGCTACTGCCCTCTGTTGGACAGAATGCAGAACAGCTCTGTGCAAAAATGGCTAAAAAACGGAGATTCAATTCTCTTTACACTGCTAACGCACTGCGAGTCTCTGAATGTGGCCTGCCACATTCTGCACCAGTATCATTGCATAGGATAATAATGGAAGCATAACCTATGCTACCTGCAGTGGTGATGCTGGGTGTCCTATGGAGAATTTGGACTTTACAAAATGGGGAAAACCCAGATTCTGGCAGACTGGCGCCATCCCTAGCTGGTGTTAAGTAAAGGTAAAGGGACCCCTGACCATTAGGTCCAGTCGTGACCGACTCTGGGGTTGCGGCGCTCATCTTGCTTTACTGGCCGAGGGAGCCGGCGTACAGCTTCCGGGTCATGTGGCCAGCATGACTAAGCCGCTTCTGGCGAACCAGAGCAGCGCACGGAAACGCCATTTACCTTCCCACCGGAGCAGTACCTATTTACTTGCACTTTGACATGATTTCGGACTGCTAGGTTGGCAGGAGCAGGGACCGAGCAACGGGAGCTCACCCTATTGTGGGGATTCGAGCCACCAATGTTCTGATCTAGCTCTAGGCTCTGTGGTTTAACCCACAGCGCCACCCGTGTCCGACAGGGTCTTTATTTTAGTGGGGTCTTTGGATCTTTATTTTAGTGGGGTGGAGTGGAGTGGAGTTAGATCTCTCTCTCTCTCTATATATATATATATATAAATATTTGTGTATTTTATGCTGTTTAATTATTGTTTTACATTTGCTTTTAATGTGTTTTTTTTTGTAAGTTGCTTTGAGTCTCATTTTTGCGGTTGGGAAGCAACAAATAAATATAATAAATAAGAATATAAAATCACGCAATGGTCAATCCGCTCCTAGACAATTCCTTTCTCACGGGCAGTCTGAGAGGCAATAAGAAATAGCTATCTCTGATGCAGAACAAAATCTTTATACAAAATAATTCTTACTCATCCTGCCAGAGACAGAAAACCGACCATGTGAAGTCTACAGCAGTCTGCCATGGCTTCCAGTCCATGGCAGGTGTAATAGCCCAAATTATGGACGTATTTTACACCTCTCTTGCCATAATGCAATCCTGTACAGTGGAACCTTGGTTCTCAAACACCTTAGTTCCCAGATACCAAAAACCTGGAAGTAAGTGTTCTGGTTTTTGAACGTTTTTCAGAAGCTGAAAATCCGATGCGGCTATCAGCTATTGTTTCCAGGGTGCCTGCACCAATCAAAAGCTGTGCCTAGGTTTTCAAACATTTCAGAAGTCAAACCGATTTCCGGAACAGATTAAGTTTGGTGCTTTTGTTTTTGCTATTTATTTTGCGTTTTTGCTTTTGAGGCTTTTTTGGTTAATTTGTTTTTGTGACTGTGTGGAACCCAGTTCAGCTATTGATTGATTGATTGATTGATTGATTGTGTGACTGCGGAAATGGATAAAAGCCCCCCATCCAAACAATGACTATCATCAGTGCAGGTAAGAAAAAATAATAATTTTAATTTGTATCATCTACAATACTGCCTTATTTATTTTATAGTACAGTACACTGATTATTGCTTTAATTTTATGGATCAATGATCTCGTTAGATAGCCAAAGTTATGTTCAATTGCTGTTTTAGAGGTTGTCTTAAAAAGTCTGGAACAGATTAATCTGTTTTGCATTACTTTTTATGGGAAAGCACGCCTTGGTTTTGGAACGCTTTGCTTTCGGAAAGGACGGATTAAGTTTGAGAACCAAGGAACCACTGTACATGCCTACTGAAAAGTAAGCCCCATTCAGTTCAGTGGGACTTCCTCTCGTTCCCAGGGAACTTTATAGGACTTGCAACGTTAAAGTCGTTGAGCTATACTTACTGGGCTGCAATCTTGATGAACTTCTTTAAGAGCTGGACACGTTTGCTGAGTTGGGAACAAAGACAAATCTCTGTGACTACCCAGAACTGGAGTTCATTGAACCTTCGCAAAAACAAATCCAAATTTGCTGTGGTCTTCTTAAAATTGTGTCTCCCAAATGTGTGGTAGACCAGTTCCAACTAGGGGAGGGGAAAAAGGAGGAGGGGAAGAATACCAGGGTTAGACAAATGATTTGTGCTTTTTTAAAAAGAAAAAAAAGAACCGCCCTGGAACAAATCTCTAGTTACGTTTCCAAATAGTCTGAGGGCTGGATCTTGCTATGTAGCAAGTGTTCTCTGATCACATTTCTGTTCCTCCTCTCTTACCAAAAGCTGACTAGACAAGAGTCTGTCAACTTACGAATAAGTGCACTGGCCACACCTTTACTTCTCCCATTGAAAAGTTTGTAAACCAACCATTAACTATAGTTTCCCATTTTATTGTTACTTGGAAAATACGGCTGAAAGCTTCGGAACAAGCCAGGATATATGTAAGAGGCCAACATAGAATCATAGAATCATAGAAGTATTTGAACGTATTTCAATTTCTCCCAAATTGTGTAATATTTCCAGAAACAGAAACATTTTCCTTTCACTTAAGAATTGGCAGAAATGTGAGAGCTCCCTGGTGTGCCAAATGGCATTCTGCACTTGCAGTCTGAAGTGCCTCTACTGCCTCTGGATTTTACCACGAATTTTGCAGTCCAGAAGCACTCCGTCCAGGGGGGGGTCAGAGCTGCAAGACTAAGTTCCTGGAAAATGCGCTACTGGAAGAGAGAGACGGGTGTGGGGGCAAAGGAATGGGAAGGCCAACATGGTGTAGGTGCACTGGGAAGAGACCTAGTTCTGTCGCAACTCTGCCCTGCCATGTTAGCCACTTCCGTCTCAGTCTACGATGGGACAAGCACAAGAATTCTCCTCACCTCATGCACGCAGTTGAAAAGCTCCCACTCATAAATGGTCATTTGATACGCTAAGTCTTTGGAGCTCATGAGTTCAAACATTCCCACAGTCCCAGTCGATGGGCCTTCTTGTTCCTGCAGTGGAACCTGGGGAAAATAACAATGAAGCTCTCTGTAAACGTTCTTATCCACCTGATCTCTCTACTCTGTTTTAACAGCTCTTTTTCTGTTTTGCTTTTTTGCACGCGGTGGCGCTTGTATAAAACTGACTGTGTGGATATTGGTCACAACACGAAACAAGAATAATGGCTTCGAAGTTAAATGCACAACACGCACATTGCTGCATAAACGCACACAGAAATGCATACAGGTTTGATACACATTTTAGTGTATTTCTAGGTCTTTGTTGGAAGCCGCCCAGAGTGCCTGGGGAAACCCAGCCATATGGGCGGGGTACAAATAATAAATTATTATTATTATTATATGTCACTGTGAGCTACGTAAGGGCAAGCAGGACTTGTCAACCTGCAAAGGTAGCCCATCTAGGAGAAAGGAAACTCTCATCCTAAACCTCTGCTGCCTTGTGGGATATCTTCAAGAGAAGAAACGACTAAGCAGTAAACCCTATAAAAATCCGGAGTGCAGTCCCGAAGACGGTTGGATGGTGCCTTGTACACCTCCTTCCGGCAACTCTGGAGCCAAGCTGGTGCCAAATGTATCTTTCTGCTTTCCTTTGGACCACATCAGCAAGGCTGAGAGGGGGGCCTTGTCATCTGGGCAGACCAGGACCTCCACACACACTGCCCAGGCTTGTGCTCTGGGGAGGTCACTTTGACGCTGCCAACGCAGCGATTTGACTTCACCCCTGGAGGCTCTGTCCATTGTCTCTTGAGACAGGTGGATGCCAACAACGTGAGCTAAGTTTCATCTTTTTCCTCGCTGCAGGAAACGAATACTACTACTACTACTACTACTAATTTTTATTTATACCCTGCCCTCCCCAGCCAAGGCAGCTAACAAGCAATAATAAAAGCAAGTTAAATGAACACAACTTAAAAACAAGATTAAAATACAACATTAAAATATTGAAACATTAAAATATTAAAATGCAGCCTCATCACAGGAGAAGAAAGGAAGAAGAAAGAGGGGGAGGGAATCAAATTGGCTCCAAGCCAAAGGCCAGGCAGAACAACTCTGTCTTACAGGCCCTGCGGAAAGAAATCAGATCCTGCAGGGCCCTGGTCTCATGAGACAGAGCGTTCCACCAGGCCGGAGCCAGGGCTGAAAAGGCCCTGGCTCTGGTTGAGGCTAATCTAACTTCCTTAGGGCCCGGGACCACTAGGGTATTGCTATTTATGGACCTTGAGGCTCTCTGTGGGGCATACCGGGAGAGGCGGTCCCATAGGTACGAGGGTCCTAGGCCATGAAGGGCTTTAAAGGTCAAAACCAGCACCTTACATCTGACCCTGTACTTCACCGGGAGCCAGTGCAGCTGGAAAAGCACTGGGTGAATATGCTCCCATGGCAGAGACCCCTGTGAGGAGCCTCGCTGCAGCATTCTGCAGCCGCTGGAGTTTCTGGGACAGCTTCAAGGGCGGCCCCGCGTAAAGCCAATTACAGTAGTCAAGCCTGGAGGTGACCGTCGCATGGATCACTGTAGCCAGGTCGGGTCGAATAACTGAAATAAAGCAGCCTTAAAATACAATGACATAAATCTCTTTTTCTCTCATGTTTCATTCCTGCTGCCTTGGAGGGGGGAAGCCTACAGGAGAAAGCTGCCAGGAAAAGTGAGGCTGGTGGCAGTGGCTTTCCATGGTTCCTAATAGGGGACACCCATTCCTTCCTGGAGTTGCCAGGGACTGAACCTAGGCCCTTTTGCACCCACTGTGTGTTTTCCCCAGCGGGGCAAATATCACTTTGGGAAACAGGCCAGGGAGAAATCCTTGCGCATTTACAAGCCATTTACAGCACATATCTCCAGACCTAGGAATCATCTGGGGAATCTTCTTTTGTTTACTTGACACCAGGGGCTTCTGACATACGAAGAGTACACTCATGAATAAATATACCATTCATTATCTGCCATTTGTTTCCACATGACCTTCACTCACAATTATATTAATTACAGCTATATGCACATACAAAGTGCGGGCTAAATTAATCTTAATTGTTCCCATCTTTCATTAAAACAAACAAGAAACATCAAAACGGCGTTTTTCCATGCCACGTAACACGAGGAATGAAGATGCCGCCTGGTGCGCAAATGGAAAGTTTGCATGTTTGATAGATGACCTAAAGAGAACTAATGCTGTGAACTGAAAATATTGGGTTGAAATTCTGCACAGCCTTAGGTATGCTGCTGTTATGCTGGCCTCACCCCGACTCAGTAAGCAGAACGGGGACGATGTTAACCACTTAAAGCTACTGAGATAATCCATGCAAAATACTTCGGACGCTAAAGCGCTCTATAAATGCTAAGGAATGTTAACATTGCATTAAAGGTAAAGGTAAAGGTACCCCTGCCCGTATGGGCCAGTCTTGACAGACTCTAGGGTTGTGCGCCCATCTCACTTAAGAGGCCGGGGGCCAGCGCTGTCCGGAGACACTTCCGGGTCACGTGGCCAGCGTGACATCGCTGTTCTGGCGAGCCAGAGCAGCACACGGAAACGCCGTTTACCTTCCCGCTAGTAAGCGGTCCCTATTTATCTACTTGCACCCGGGGGTGCTTTCGAACTGCTAGGTTGGCAGGCGCTGGGACCGAGCAGCGGGAGCGCACCCCGCCGCGGGGATTCGAACCGCCGACCTTTCGATCGGCAAGCCCTAGGCGCTGAGGCTTTAACCCACAGCGCCACCCGGGTCCCAAACATTGCATTACTCTATAGCAAAATGTTTCATCCGCTAAGAAATGGCATTTCTATCTCTATCAGCTTGTGAGTGATGCAACAGCGAGTTGATTGTAAGGGTCTCCTATGAGGATTCTTTTGACCTTGGGAAAACAGGGTTTAGAGACTAGACAGCATTTTGGTTGCCATTCATAGCTTGAATTGTAGCAAAGTATGAGACGCTCCATTTTGCAGGATTTTAATTGATCAGAATTGGCTCCCCACTTGAATTTGTAAGTGGAGCTGATATCTGACCCTGCGTTAAGAAGAATTAACTTAACACCGTTTGCATTTTAGTTACCAGTAATTTGAGCTGGCAGCCGCCCAACGATAGGTGAAGCTATCCTTCCTAGCTGCTTTTTACTCCACTAGAGGGCAGTGCAGTTCATTAACAACGTTTCCCTTTCCAATTTTTTTCCATATTGCAATATATTCACTAATCATTAACATAAAACTGGAAGCTTTCACCTGGCACATTGAAGGCTATCCTAAACGCGAGCTTTCCTAAGGAGTAGAAGGAATAATGGTCGAAAGCACCAAAAAACACAGGCACAACCCAAGCCGAGTTAAGCACTTTTAAATTTTACTGCTTCAGTAGAAGGCACTGATTTTTGTTGTTATTGTTAAAATGAATGAGACAGTGCCTTTTACTATGATTACGAACCAGGACTGAGAGAGTTCCATGGATGTACCCATCTTTGGCTATCCTTCAACTACATTTGTATCTACTCTGAAGATCTCCCAAACTTTTTAACACAAAGGACTGTAAAGGAAGGCTCCCCACTCCTTCTCCAAAAACCCCAAAGCGCTGCTGTTTAGTGCCAGGCAAGTGCCAAAACTCTTGCCTACAGCTCTTTGCAACCTGCCTGCTGTGTCCAAAATACAGAAGGCTCTTTAAAATGATAAATGAAGGACGCAAGCGTAGGCATGCCAGAAGCACACTACCGCCTAAACACAATTTACATTCGTATTTAAATTTAGTTGCTGCCTTTATATTTTAAACAATCGCGATCCAAAACTATCTTTTGTATCTGAAGCGACGTCAAAGCTTCCATTTCACAGTTCCTATGAAATGGATTGAATCCTACAAAGTGTCTCATTGGGAGGGGACAAGAGCCAGGATCAAGGATTGGAGCGAGGGACTTAATTCATGCTGGCCTGCCAACGAAAACTGCTCTGAATGAAAGGACCAAAAAGCACTTTACAATAATAATCCGGTTCTCTGGAAGTGGACCCCTTGGGAGCATGGCGGGATTACTCTGCTGTTAGTACTCGCAAACATTTCGAATGTTTTAAGGAAAGCCAGACTTTCTAATGAGAACAGTGGTTTTAATTATAGAGCCCTGAGGAACGACTTGAAAGAGTTTATTCTGTGCCTTCATAATATGCCAGCCTATATATAATGCTTTTTTTAAAAAATTACATGTACAGTGGTACCTTGGGTTACATATGCTTCAGGTTACATATGCTTCAGGTTACAGACTCCGCTAACCCAGAAATATTACCTTGGGTTAAGAACTTTGCTTCAGGATGAGAACAGAAATCATGCAGTGGCGGCACTGCAGCAGTGGGAGGCCCCATTAGCTAAAGTGGTGCTTCAGGTTAAGAACAGTTTCAGGTTAAGAACAGACCTCTGGAACGAATTAAGTACTTAACCCGAGGTACCACTGTACACTTCTTTTTACTGCACTTAAGAAAAGGACAGAAATATGCTCTCACGCCACAAGCATAGGGCGTTGTTTATTCTGCCATGGGTAATAAGCTGCCTGCCAGCAGGGCAACCCCACACGTGGCAACACCAAAGGATATCATTGGGGTTGCCCCAAGGCCATCACCACCTCAATACAGTCGTATCTTGGATTTCAAACGTCTTGTCTCCCAAACAAATCGGTTCCTAAATCATCGAAACCCAGAAGTGAGTGTTCCTGTTTTCGAACCTTCTTTTGGAAGCTGAACTTCCAACAGGGTTTCCGATTGGCTGCAGGAGCTTCCTGCAGCCAATCAGAAGCCGTGCTTTGGTTTCCGAATGTTTTGGAAGCCGAACAGACTTCGGGAACGGATTCCGTTTGACTTCCAAGGTACAGCTGTACTGTATTTTTGCTGGTTCCTGCCATTGTTTTCTGTGAGGCCTCACTGCTATGTGGTTGATTTCTAGACCTCTCTAGGATGAGGGTAGCTCTTGAGTGAAAGAAGAAGAGTTTTGGACTTGATATCCCGCTTTATCACTACCCAAAGGAGTCTCAAAGCAGCTAACATTCTCCTTTCCCTTCCTCCCCCACAACAAACACTCTGTGAGGTGAGTGGGGCTGAGAGACTTCAAAGAAGTGTGACTAGCCCAAGGTCACCCAGCAGCTGCATGTGGAGGAGCGGAGACACGAACCCGGTTCACCAGATTACGAGACTACCGCTCTTAACCACTACACCACACTGGAGAGAAGCAGCTGGTACTCATATTGAAAATACACACAGTATATAAATTTGTCTAAATAAATACATTTAAAAAACCTGGTCTGAATCAGGGGACGTCCTACTCAGAGAATGCTATCCACTGCCATAGTATGGATCTTCCCCACACAACTCTGTGCAGCCCTCTTGCCAAGATTTGAAAATCTCCAATAAAAATAATAATAAATTTGTACCCCACCCATCTGACTGGGTTGCCCCAGCCACTCTGGGTAGCTTCCAACATAGATAAAAAATAACAAAACAGTAAACATTAAAACGCTTCTTTGTACTGTGCTGCCTTCAGATGTCTTGCGGATAGTTATGCAGAAAGGCTGAGGAGAAATTTTCAGGATAAGAAATGCGTATGTTATATAGCATTCAAGTAAGGAGTACAAAGCACAGCCTCTGACCCGAAAGGCGTTCAGAGGTCTAGCATACTTACATACCAGTGAGTCAAACTGGTCTCGAGGGCAAGCAAAGAGGCGTCCGTTAACACTGAGCGTTGTAAACACCGAAACATCGTTGGGTTTTAGCACCACCTTTTCTGTGAACGTGAAAAGCATGGGATATACTACAGAAAACGCACGCCCATTATCACAAGAAAAGCAAGTTGTCAAGACTTCTCATTGGAACAAACAGAATGGATGCCTACGGTGGAATTTGAGAGAATCTCTTCCATTTGGAAGGGCAGCTTTTATAATTTGAGAGCCCACTCGACTGGATGACACATTCAAATATTTGTGTGTGGCACTCAAAGGTTAGGTAAGTATTAGTAGCGGCCCAGTCGGCGGCATTACTTGTGATTCGGATATATAAAATTTGTTTTTATTTGTTTGTGTTTTTACGCCAAACAGTTTTTATGCACAGTACAGAGACCACTGAGGCAGACATTCATTGTTTGTTTTCAATTGTCATTACACTCCGTAACACTCTTTCATATACCAAATTTATGAGTGTTAATTTTTTGATCCCAATGTTTTTCTAATCACGTCCGTGGTAGAACCACGTGACTCTTTTCTCCATTGCAGTCAATCTATACTGCTCCTAGAAAAGCTGGCATCTTTAAGAAAAACAACAGGAAGTTGCCAATAAACCTTTTTTTAAAAAAAAACAAAACCAAAAAAACAGCAACAACATTTTACTTGTATTCATAGTTCCAGGTCAGCTATGGGATTTGATCTTTGTCTTGTAAAGATCTTCAGGTGCCTGGACTGCAGCCTGCCTATGCTCTCAGTTATGATGAGACCCTCTTCTACACCAGACCAGTGTCTACCATTAAACGGCGATGCCATTCTACTGGGACTCAAATCTCTAGCCACCTTACTTTTTAAACTGTCCCTGGCATTAAGTGTAAGGAGCTGGGTGAATTCTTCCCCGCTTTCCTCAGACTAACTTGGAGTCATCAAGAGTTCTTCAACAAAAAATTAGGAGGAACTTGGATCATTTCTCAAGCTCTTCTTAGCAGACCCTATGGAGAAATGCTTCTACTGCCCTTCCTTTTTTTGGGGGGGGGAGGGTGTTCTTTTAAGGATTGCATCTGGGAAAGCTGGGGATGGGGAAGCCCAATTCTTGGACTAGCAGAGCACCCCTTGCCCAGTCAATCCTAAAGGCTGCCTTTAGGGTAAGATGGTGTGACGTTAACATATGAGAGTGCTGGAGGTGAAATAGTTAAACAGGTTACCCAATCAGAACCCGGGGGTGGAGTCAGAGGGACTATAAAACCAGCTGGGAGGGGCGAAGAGGGAGTTCATTGGGAGGTTGGTTGGAGTGGAAGTGAATTGGGATAGAGTCTGTGGGTAGGTTGAGTTAGTGTAGCGAAATAAGCTGAGTCAGGAACAGTTAGGGGCTAGGAAGACAAGTAAATATCTGAGAGGTGGTTTAGTGAGTGAGAGCAGGTAGCAGAAGTTATAGGTCTGGATAGGCACCCCATGAATGTAATTGACCGATACTGTTTATGAAACCGCACGCTTGTTAAACTGCAATAAATAAACAGCAGGTGGCGCTGTGGGTTAAAGCCTCAGCACCTAGGACTTGCCGATTGAAAGGTCGGCAGTTCGAATCCCTGCGTCGGGGTGCGCTCCTGTCGTTCGGTCCCAGCGCCTGCCAACCTAGCAGTTCGAAAGCACCTTCGGGTGCAAGTAGATAAATAGGGACCGCTTTCTAGCTGGAAGGTAAACGGTGTTCCGTGTGCTGCCCTGGCTTGCCAGAGCAGCGATGTCACGCTGGCCACGTGACCCGGAAGTGTCTGCGGACAGCACTGGCTATAGAGTGAGATGAGCGCACAACCCTAGAGTCTGGCAAGACTGGCCCGTACGGGCAGGGGTACCTTTACCTTTACCTTTATGTTCCAATTTAACCCTGACTGGACTCAGTATTGTACCAGGTAGGGCCTGGGTGGTGGCAGCGAGAAATAAAGTGGTGGCACAGGGATCAATAGATGGTGAAACATCCGGGGACCCTGTGTGATCGCCAAAGAAAAGTTCTCTATGAGAATTGACTTTTGGCTCCCAACCCCAGATTGTCTGGGGGACAACGTCTCTCGCACAACATCTCCCTTGCTAGAACTACCCATAGGAAAAGTGATTTGAGAAAATCCATTCTATGCTATTTGTCCTTGGTGTGATGGCAACTCTGCCAGCTGTCCTAGAGGAAGCTCTTCAAAGCCCTCCAGCAAAGCAAGAATTTCTCCACTGTGTTGCATGGGGCCTGCTTAGACCCTGGGGAAATCAGTGTGCGCGTGGTGGTGGGGAACTCTTCAAAGGAAGAATCTGAGGCCTTCCTGTGTTCACCTGAGGTGAGCATTCCCAAGTACCTAAAGCTTGTTTCTGAGTCTGAGCTGGAAAGACTTCACTAGTGTCCTCTATAAATGGAAGAAGGTAAAGGGACCCCTGACCATTAGGTCCAGTCGTGACCGACTCTGGGGTTGCGGTGCTCATCTCGCTTTATTAGCTGAGGGAGCCAGTGTACAGCTTCCGGGTCCTGTGGCCAGCATGACTAAGCCGCTTCTGGCGAACCAGAGCAGCACACGGAAATGCCGTTTACCTTCCCGCCAGAGCGATACCTATTTATCTACTTGCACTTGGACGTGCTTTCGAACTGCTAGGTTGGCAGAAGCAGGGACCGAGCAACGGGAGCTCACCCCTGTCGCGGGGATTCGAACCGCTGACCTTCTGATCCGCAAGCCCTAGGGCTCTGTGGTTTAATCCACAGCGCTGGAAGAAGGCTGATGGCAAAAACACTGATGTTCCTGTTCAGGGAAATGGGTCTAAAGAGCTGTCAATGAGATTTATCACATTCAGATGAAGGTGGGGAAAGTTTTAACCCTAACATATAATGTAATAATTCATCTCGGAATGTAATAGCGATGGTTGGGCTTGCTTTTTGGAAGAGATGCGTAAGATTCTGCTGTCAGTTATATTTAGCTCTCGCAATCCCATCAACAAAAGATACCTGCACGTCACAGATTGGTTCAGAAGGGCTAATTAACTGCCTTATAAATCTTTTTGTCCCAGCGTAGGTCCACCAGAATGCCTCCCACTCTGGTGAAAGAAATCCTATTGAAATTGCAGAATAGGGACGCCCCTGGTATCAATTCATTTGCGGAAAAAGAATTGTCCCCGACAACAGTTTCTATTTGCGTTCCAATGTAGCTTTAATTAACTCTGTCAGAATTCACAGCGCCACACAAAATTGGAACCAGCAGTCGTACCTCAATGCAGTGCTACCTTTCTTAAAGACTTCCCTTCAACTAATGCTCGGCCTTAAAGGTCAAATATTTAATCTTCTATCAAAACAAAGCTTTTGCCATAGGACCCTCCCTCCCCTCTCCCAAAAAACCCACCCACCCTAAATTTTACCAAATGAAAACATATAGGGCATGATCTCCTATGCAAGAAGGATTCCCATAGGATTTATAGAACCTTGTTCCCCCCGCCTCAAGCATTAAAGGTAAAGGTAAAGGGACCCCTGACCATTAGGTCCAGTTGTGACTGACTCTGGGGTTGCGGCGCTATCCCGCTTTATTGGCCGAGGGAGCCGGCGTACAGCTTCCGGGTCATGTGGCCAGCACTGACTAAGCCGCTTCTGGCGAACCAGAGCAGCGCACGGAAACACCATTTACCTTCCCTCCGGAGTGGTACCTATTTATCTACTTGCACTTTGACATGCTTTCGAACTGCTAGGTTGGCAGGAGCAGGGACCGAGCAACGGACCCACACATAAATACTAAGGAGAGAAGGTGGGTTGGATGGGGACATGAGATACATTCACAGATCACCCAGAGGCAGCATGGCAGCTAGCATGGTGTAGTGGTTCAAATGCTGGACCTGAAGACCAAGGATCAAATCCCCACTCAGCCATGAAGCGCACTGGGTGAGCTTGGGCCAATCACATTTTTTTTAGCCTAACCTACCTCACAGGGTCGTTGTGAGGAGAAAACGGAAAGCAGGAGAACCATGTCAGCTAAGTGTAAATAGGGCTGCATCCTTATTTGTTAAATTTGTATCCTGTCTTTCCGCCAGACAGAGTTTATATATTACCACAAAGCTGTTGTGCTATTATTATTATTATTTCAGTTTATATACCGCTGTATAACTACAGATCTCAGGGCAGTTCACCGATCCTAACACAGATATACTACTAAAAAAGCCCTTTTATTTAAAAATACTAGGGAAGATATACCTCAGTCAAATTATCGAATCAAGTTTAATGTCTGTCAACCAATTAAATAATTTTCAGCTGATTCACCGCCTGACTTTTAAACCAATGAATCAGTTAAGTTTAATCATACTTGCTTATTTCTGAAAACGTACAGGGTACGTATGTGCCTCTTTTTTTTATTATCTATTAAACGAACCGTGAGGTGATTTCCAGTTTAATGATTTTCATCATGGTGAGATGGCAAGAATATCTTTAATATTCTCTTCATCATCCTACACAACAGTGGCAAACCAGACACATGGAGCAGCCTTAAAAATAAGCAGGTGAGCCGTTAATGCGCAGCCTCCCAAGTAATCAACTAAAGCTTTAGCTGATTAATGTACAACTAAACCAATCCATTGGATTAATCTACAATTAAAGGCTGAAAGCTTACATTCACACTCTGGCCATGGATCTAATTTGTGTAATGTGCTGCGGCTTCAGATTGAGGTTTCCGGCTGCAGATTTTGGGGTGGGGTGGTGGGGAGGTTGATGACAGCCAAGGCGCAGAAATTTAGATTCCACTGCCCACAGCGAAAGGTGCAGTCCGGTTTGCCAGGTATTAAAAATGAAAGACGAAAAGTCTTTAAAGAAATCAGTGCGAGCCTTTCCCATTCCTTCATGGTCTGCTGCCCCAAAGGTAAATGAGGAGTGTTAAAGATTATGCAAATGCCCTTACCTCCTCCCGAGCTCATCTTTACTAATATCAAGCCGTCTCCAGAGCCCAGCTTGTCAGCTACAGCACTGATAACTTCTTTTACGGAAGACAACACTGGAATGCGGATTGTCGTGTAGGTTTGGTCGATGCAGTACACCTTGAACAAAACTTCAGACAGAAACAAGGCACATCATGAATAAGGGCTGTAAGAAGATGAAACAAGGTAGGATGCAGAATATGACGATGATGATGATGATTTATTTATTATTTATTTATACCCCACCCATCTGGCTGGGTTTCCCCAGCCACTCTGGGCGGCTTCCAACAAAATATTAAAATACAATATATGAATTCAGTTGTTGTTGTTATACTGCCCTATACCCTGGGGTCTCAGGGGGGTTCACAGAATAAAATCAAGATATAAAACCACAAAACAACTAATAAAAATTAAAACAACAACCCAATAGCCCCTCCCCTCCCCCCACAAAAAACGCATTTTAGAAGAGTTTGGATTTGATATCCCACTTTATCACTACCCGAAGGAGTCTCAAAGCGGCTAAGAATCTCCTTTCCCTTCCTCCCCCACAACAAACACTCTGTGAGGTGAGTGGGGCTGAGAGACTTCAAAGAAGTGTGACTAGCCCAAGGTCACCCAGCAGCTGCATGTGGAGGATTGGGGAAGCAAACCAGGTTCCCCAGATTACGAGACTACCGCTCTTCACCACTACACCACACTGGCATAGGATGTAAATCAGATCAACCAAAGGCCTGGTTAAAAAGGAACATTTTTGCCTGCTGCCTAAAGGTGTATAATGAAGGCGCCAGGTGAACTTCCCTGGAAACAGCATGCCACAGATGGGGAACCACTACAGAGAAGGCTCTGTTCTCATGTTGCCACCCTCCGAACCTCTCGAGGAGGAGGCACACGAAGGAGGGGCTCAGGGTCCGAGTAGGTTCATATGGAAAGAGGTGGCCCTTGAGGTATTGCATGACAACTGTATGCAACTTAGCACTGCCATATTTTACTTTATTTTGTTAAAGGGGAGGGTGTTCTCAGTGGGCCCCATAGTTTCTTGCTTCTCCTAGGCCCAATCCTAAAGCAGAGATGGGGAAGTTGATGTTGCTCCCATCACCCCTGACCATTGTGGCTGGGGCGAAGGAGAGCTGGAGTCCAAGAACATCTGGAAAACCACAGTATCCCCATCTTCGTCCAAGAGGGAAGAAGCAAGACCTGTGGAGGCTTCCTTCTGCTTCTCCTTGCTCCTCACACCGCTCACATTTTGTTGAGAGAGCAGGGCACCAACAGCAAGGAGGAGTAGCAGCCGAACCAGAAAGTCCCAGAGATTGGCAGTAGGCATGCATTTTTATCCCTGTTGATAACAACAACAACAACAATATTTAGCTATACCCCACCCTGCCCGGTTCAAAAACCAGGCTCAGAGCGGCTAACAACAAATTTAAAACACTTAATTGTAAAAGCAGCATAAAATACAGTATAAAAACACGAATAACAATAAAATTCAAAGTTCAGAAATCAATTTGGGGGAAATCCATCTAATAAGCATTAGATAGTCACCAGGGCTAGCTGGGTGAATTAGTCCTACTTGGGCCAGCGAGGAGGCCAGGGGAGAATTAGCTGTGGGGCCTCAGAGCGGGTAATCTTCATAAAAGGGGAGGGGGAGGGAAGAGAAGAGAAGAGAAGAGAAGAGAAGAGAAGAGAAAGGAAGGGAAATAAAAGATCAGGCTGAATTCAAATTAAAGGCCAGGCGGAATAGCTCTGTCTTACAGGCCCGATGGAAGGAAGTTAAATCCTGAAGGGCCCTAGTCTCACGGGACAGAGCATTCCACCAGGTCAGAGCCAACAGTGAAAAGGCCCTGGCCCTGGTGGAGGATAGTCTGACTTCCTTAGGGCCTGGGACCTCTAAACTATGGTTATTCATGGACCTTAAGGTCCTCTGCGGGGCATACCAGGAGAGGCGGTCCAGTAAATACCAGTCCTTGAATGCTTGGCAGACTAAGAAAGGGCGGTGAGTTGCTAGGGGGGAGAAGATGGTTTAATCCTGACCACTCCTAACCCAGCTCAGGGGCCGTCTCAACATGAGAAGAGACCCTGGGCAAAATTCCACCCGGGGCTGGTGGTCCTTTTCTTCTATCACCCAAGTCCTGCGATCGTACTCAATGACTTACGTTCATCGCTTCCCCTTATGGGCTGTCGTTTTTGCGTTCTTTCGTCACTCGTGTTGAAGTGCTGCAAGAGAACTTTGTGCTGGGGAAACAAACCCGACAAAACGCGGTGATTGTAAATGCAAGCAGAAAACTTTTCCAGGAAGCTACTGCATGTTATGTAAGAGTTGTCATGCCCAAGACCCACCTAGTCCGGCAATCTGTTCTCACAATGACCAACCAGATGCCCATGACAGGGCCTGAGCGCAACAACAGTCTCCTCGCTCTATTTTATATATATATATATATATATATATATATATTCAACAGTAATTAAACATACTTTTACATCTTATTCAAATTTTTGACTTCCATCAATCCTGTCTGAACATTTAATAATAATAATAATAATAATAATAATAATAATAATAATAATAATAATAAATTTTATTTATATCCCGCCCTCCCCAGCCTTAGCCAGGCTCAGGGCAGCTAACAACAATAAAACAGTACAAAAGTACAGCATAAACAACACTCTAAAATCATTCATTCTAAAATTAATTAATTCAAGCCACTGGCAGCCATTGGGCCAGAGCTCCGCGAAGATTGCCGGAGGAGGGAGTCAGGCTGTGCCCTTGCCAAAGGCCTGGTGGAACAGCTCTGTCTTGCAGGCCCTGCGGAAAGATGTCAAGTCCCGCAGGGCCCTGGTCTCTTGTGACAGAGTGTTCCACCAGATCGGAGCCACAGCCGAAAAAGCCCTGGCTCTCGTTGAGGCTAGCCTAACTTCTCTGTGGCCTGGGACCTTCAAGATGTTTTTATTTGAAGACCGTAAGTTTCTCTGTGGGGCATACCAGGAGAGGCGGTCCCGTAGGTACGAGGGTCCTAGGCCATATAGGGCTTTAAAGGTTAAAACCAGCACCTTAAACCTGATCCTGTACTCCACCGGGAGCCAGTGCAGCTGGTATAGCACCGGGTGAATGTGATCTCGCAGGGAGGACCCCGTAAGGAGTCTCGCTGCAGCATTCTGCACCCGCTGGAGTTTCTGGGTCAGTCTCAAGGGCAGCCCCACATAGAGCGAGTTACAATAATCCAGTCTGGAGGTGACCGTCGCGTGGATCACAGTGGCTAGGTCAGGGCGAGAGAGGTAAGGAGCCAACTGCTTAGCTTGGCAGAGATGGAAAAATGCCGCCTTTGTTATAGCTGCAATCTGCGCCTCCATGGAAAGGGAGGTGTCGAAGATTACACCCAAACTCTTAACGGACGGTGCTGGCACTAATTGCGCCCCCGCAAGAGATGGGAGTTGCCCCCCCAATCCCATATCACCCCGTCCCAGCCACAGGACCTCTGTCTTCGAAGGATTTAGCTTCAACCGGCTCCCATGTAACCATCCAGCCACAGCTTCCAAACATCTGGTCAGTGTGTCTGGGGCCGAGTCAGGATGGCCATCCATCAACAGATAGAGTTGGGTGTCATCGGCATACTGATGGCAACCCAGCCCAAAACACCGAACAAGCTGGGCGAGGGGGCGCATAAAGATGTTGATTTTCCAATATAATCTCTTAGTATGCATTTCTTATCTTCCCTGTTACATTTCAAACTCATAACCAATATCTCTATCTTTTTCTACTTTGTAACACTTCGTATATTTCTCCTTACGAAACTTCTTGTGGTCCTACTAGCATAATTTGTTGATTACAGTTGCTCTTCAAATAATTCATATACTTCTCCCAATCTTCTGTAAATCTCTGGTCCCGCAGGTTTCGAATCCTTCCTGTCATTTTTTCCAATTCTGCATAGTCCATTAATTTCGTCTGCCATTCTTCTTTCGTCGGAATTTCTTCTTGTTTCCATTTCTGGGCTAACAATACTCTTGCTGCAGTTGTTGCATATAAAAACAATTTAACATCTTGCCTATTAAGCACTCTCCTCGCTCTAGAGCATGAGACTCTTAATCTCAGGGTTGTGGGTTCGAGTGCTACGATGGACAAAAGATTCCTGCATTGCAGGGAGTTGGACTAGATGACCCCTGTGGTCGCTTTCAACAGTTCTACGATTCTATGCCCTCCCCAGCAACTGGCATTCAGAGCAGAGGTGGCTCGTGCTGAATGGGACTAGTGGGGCAGAAGGCAGGAAGACCAACACTAGGTGGGCAAGAGCCTGTATCAGAATCCTTGTTTTGTCCCCATCCTCTTTCCTGCTGAGATCTACAAGGACCGAGGAAGCTGAGAAGACAGCGCCACCACCTGGACAGATTATTGAGAAGGCAGGTGGGTGCGGGCTGGCCGAGAGCAACCTGAGGTTGGTGGGGCAGTGGACCATTTGCCCTATGGGAGCTGACCTCAGTGATTTGGAGACATACGGCCTTTGATACTGGAGGCAGTCTACACAAAGCCTTTGTGTGGCTAGCGGCTATTGGTCATGAGTTTGCCTAATCCCGTTCTGAAGCCATCCAAGTTGGCAGCCACCACTGTATGCTGTGGTGGTGAATCCCATCATTTAACTTTGCGATGTGTTATACAGCTGATGGTGCGTGTGGGAGAAAGAATAACAGAATACCCATAGATCTGATCAAATTTCATTGCGTGGACTTGCTTCTTCTTTGGAGACTAAATTCTCAGGGCACCTTCACATCTTCTGTTTTAACCGCATGCATGTAATGTTATGCGTACACACAAAACTATAACACGTCTGCACAACCAATGTGCTTTCCAAAGTATAAACGATACCGATGCGTCGGACAGGATACAATAGTAAAGATGTACTTGCCAATCCATAGGTGTGAACTTGCCCTTGGTGGTTGGAAAAATAACAGTTTAACATTTTATGTGGGACGAGCAGTCTAAATACTTACCTTTTTCTGTGGTGCTTTAGCTTCTTCTGATCTGCAAAAAGAAAAATACAGCCTATTTTTAGAGGGTGAAATTTGGAAGCAACAATAGTTTGGTTCACACGTAACTCTAAACCATGGTTTGGCACTATGTGCACAAGCAAAATCCAAGCGAAGCCTCAGGCTTGTGCATGCCACTCTCCTTCTCCCCATGAGGCTAGGAAAAGAACTCTTCTAGCATTTAATTAATCATTCAAAGAACCCTTGCTTTGCATTATGTATGAAAAAGAGGTCAAGGTGGTTTGTTTTTTGAAGCAAAGCTGTTTCAAGAGGAGGAACATAGTAACATAGGTTGCTGCCTTTCCAGTGAGTCCATTAGTAGATTGTAGATTCCATTAAGCTCAGTGTTCATCTTCTACACTGTCGGGCAACAGCTCTGTGGGGTTTCAGGCAGGGAGTCTACCTGGAAAAGACAGGTACTGGCTTCTACGTGTAAAGCAGATCCTTTGCCACTGAGCTGGGGCCCTTCCCCAAAAATCTAGAGCAAAGAAGCAGTGGCAGTTGGAAGCTCCTTCACCCAAGAGCCCAATAATAATAATAATAATAATAATAATAATAAAATAATAAATAAATAAATAAATAATAATTTATTTATACCCCACCCATCTGGCTGGGCTTCCCCAGCCACTCTGGGCGGCTTCCAAAAAAATATTAAAATACTGTAATACATCAAACATTAAAAGCTAAAACAGGGCTGTCTTAAGATGTCTTCTAAAAGCCTGGTAGTTGTTGTTCTCTTTGACATCTGGTGGGAGGGTGTTCCACAGGGCGGGTGCCACTACTGAGAAGTCCCTCTGCCTGGTTCCCTGTAACTTGGCTTCTCGCAGTGAGGGAACCGCCAGAAGGCTCTCGGCGTTGGACCTCAACGATGGGGGTGGAGACGCTCCTTCAGATATACTGGACCGAGGCCGTTTAGGGCTTTAAAGGTCAGCACCAACACTTTGAATTGTGCTCGGAAACGTACTGAATTCCTTTGCAGGATTCAGAATGCATGTTTGCAAACCACAGTCCTCCTCTTCCTCTCTCCTGTAACATCTAGATACACAGATGTATGGTAGGATGCCATGGCACTTCAGGTTTCCCTACTCCACTTAGTTGGCCTGGCTTGGACATCATGCTAAACCGTGGTTGATTGCTCAACAGCACAATGACGTTTCATAATACTATATATTTTCCTACTCTTTTTGGTATACAAACTCTAAAAAAAAAGTTCTAGCTAAATTCTTTGCTGATGGGGAGATGGAATACAGTGAAGCTTTCTCTCTGGTTTCACACATTTGCAAAAGCTAGTTTAGAGATGAACAAATTCAAGGTTATGCTTACATTTGTTTCATAGTCTTCTCTAGCTCTGGTAGTTGCTCTTTGAGGGCTGTAATCATCCTTGTATCATCTGATACACATACATAAAACTCCTATTAAATGAAAAAGAACACTCTTCAAACAATAATACAAAGAGGCAGTCGACTTGTCAAGATATGTATTGCAGGTGGGCTGACTACGGAGAAAAACGGTTCAATAGAGGTTCCTGACAAATACCGGAGAAACAAATGACCACACTGGAAAAGTTCAAAAGGATGGAATCTGAATCTTGCTCCACCTCTAATCCAATATTATCTCAAGAGATGGAGTTGGCAGAGTGAGATGGTCACCTCTAGCAACAGATCTTCCATGTCATTAAAGAGAGAGACAATGTCAGTTATTTAAAAGGTAAAGGTAAAGGACCCCTGGGTGGTTAAGTCCATTGTGGGGATTCGAACCGCCGACCTTCTGATCGGCAAGCCCAAGAGGCTCAGTGGTTTAGAACACAGCGCCACCTAACACAGTACGGTTTACTGCCAAGTAGTATTACAGGCATGGGATTGTGCTGGAAATGTCTAGGTTCCATATTCTCACAATGCCCATTTCTTTCAATGTGATTGTCTCTGTATTAGAAAACAGACTGGTATCTCCACCCCCACTTTCCTTCCTGAAATTGCAGCCAGTGGCAACAAGGCATGATATTGTTTGCAGCAGCAATGCAAAACCCCCAAGAAGGACATCTATAGTTGTTTGTACTTGAATGTAACGTCCTTAGGAAGGAGAATTCTACAGCTTGGAAAACAGTCTTGGCTCAGCTCTCCTGCCTCAGTAACTAGTTAATATTGATTTCAACGAAACAGCAGTACTAAGCAATTGTGCCCTACCTCCAGAAAGGCCATTGCCGCTTCGTCCTCTTGCAGGACATCTCCATACAAAGCAGCCCATTGCAGCACTAAGCGAATGACTCGCCGTTTGTTGTTTAGGGCATAATCCATTTTTTCTTGCTCCGTACCCTGCGAAGGCTGAGCGTGGTAAGTGCCAAGATGTCAAGGAAAACGTTCATTTTGCTACTTCATCCACCCCCCTCAGAATTTCCCATCGTTTCCTCATAACAAAGCGTGCTTATAACTGATGCTTTCAAGCGCCGTGAAACACACAACTGCCCAGCAGGATTTTCAAGATCAATAACATTTCCTTGTAAAGTACAATTGGCAAATGGTTCAAGGGACATGGACCCAATTTGTTACTTTCCCTGGACTGTGGATGCTCATTGGTGGTGGAAGAGTGGGATCAAGGCAAGCCCTCTAGCCTTAAGGGAGATGCAGAAAGATGCACGATAGCCACTGTAGTAATAAACTGAACACAGTGTAGATATATTATTTCTGTGGCTTTGTATTTGTGTAGGAGGCAGGTAGCACAGCACATTTTTATAGTCCTGTTTTAGCTGATGTCATGGTGTTGTGCTCTTCAACTTTAACTTGTGGTTTTTGCCTCTGCAGAGAAATAATAATAATTATGATTTATTATTTATAACCCGCCCATCTGGCTGGGTTTCCCCAGCCACTCTGGGCGGCTCCCAACAGAATATTAAAAACACGGTAAAACATCAAACATTAAAAACTTCCCTAAACAGGGCTGCCTTCAGAAGTCTTCTAAAAGTCAGATAGTTGTTACTTTCTTTGACATCTGATGGGAGGGCGTTCCACAGGGCGGGCGCAAAAACCGAGAAGGCCCTCTGCCTGGTTCCCTGTAACCTCACTTCTCGCAGGGAGGGAACCGCCAGAAGGCCCTCGGAGGAGGACCTCAGTGATTTTATTTGCAGGACATGTACATGCAACAATTGTTGATTCTTCTTGCTGTGATTTTTCCACGAGTTAATTGCTTGGCAGCACGGGGCATATGAAAGTGTGTATGTGTGTGTGTGTGTGTGTGTGTGTGCGTTGGGGGGAAGGCAAGGACCACTGGTTTTCCAGGCCACTGCCACAGATCAGGGGGGGATAGGGCTGGTTCTAGTTTCTATTGCCTCTTCTAGCTTGCACTGTGGTGACATTAGCCTGGGACTCTGTGATGTGGGGGCTGGTAGTATTTGCCTTCCTGTCAGTGGAGGTGAGGAATTTGGCTTCCCTAACATAATTCAGCCTGTCCTTTCATTAGGGAAGGAAGAAAGCAGCTATTTCTGTTCCAACCTATCTTTGTCACACCCAGCGCTGTTTCTCTTCTGCTGCAGTCCAGTTTCTGCCAAATATTGTATTTCTCACCGTCCACTATTTAATGTAATGTATATAATTAGTTTGACAACATAATTAATGGCACAATTATTTCCACACCACTCGTTCTGATTTAAAGGACACGTCAAACCAATGTTTTAAATAAAAAATAAAAATAAAAAGGTCATTCAAGATGTATCAGTTGCAGGCTTAAAAACCAACCCAACCCAAGAACCTTTATGACTGAGTAGTAATCATATTCTTTGGACTGATTTCTATGCCAGGTCTGGGATGAAACAATGAACAGCAGCAACTGCTGCTTCCATTTATGATGGAATTTTCTGAAGCCCCAGCCTTTCACAGCCATCTCCCTTTGAAAATAAGACAGGCAGAGCATCTTTGCACATAGATATATTGCCTCATCAACCTTCTGCTCACACAGACCTTTGGTATGTGTGCATTTCCAACCCCGAGTCCAGCATGACCAAGGGAAGGAGCACGTTTTTTTAAAAAAGTATATATGGTTATGTTAGCAATAATATAAATCTGTATCATTAAGCAAGTCAATGGAATCCATTAAAATTTCATTGTGATTATTACTGTTTGCAAGCCAGCAATTAAGATGCAATGGAATGCTACCCTCACCAACTTCAGATGCAGTTTTCTCTGTATCCTGGTTCCTTCCCACGCAGAACAGGTGCAGCAAACAGTATTTTGAAATGTACGCGTATGTCAGAGTTTTGCTGTTACAGGGCAACTCAGGTGTAAACTTCTCCCTTTTGGAAAGGGCAAGTTTTGACATTAGTATCAGATATGGCGACTGCCCAGCACAACCTTGGTTCGAGGGACGTGCTTGTTCACAATGCATCTCTTATCAGTCCAGGGTCAGCAGAGATGAGTCTACAAGCACTACTGAAATTCTACTTAGTCCAGGCTGACTTGGGATCCAGTGACAGACAGATCTGACAGACAGCCGTATATAGCTAGATCCTCACGAAACAGGGAGGAAATTGAATATAATAGTATTTTGTGCGTTCCATGTGGAATTAATGGCCCAGAATATTTTCTGCATATGACAGTTCTGACAAGCACAGGGCCGTTGTGAATGTAAGTCTTAAAATAAACTGTTTCTTTCAAATCAAAGCACGGGGGCTTTGACATGCAATCTCTGGGATGTCTCAAGAGACTGTGAGCTGATCAGAAGGGAAAACAAATGCATCAATAGAGCCTCTTGCACAATATATGCACAATATGACTAAAGCAGTAATTTAAGGGGGCGGGATAGAAACTGGGCTTATTAAGCCATTTTTTTGTTTCCCTTAGACACTGCTACAGCTACTTAACAGTCTAGGACATGGGACACCCTACTGAAATCTAGAGTCATGGGAAAAAGAAAGTCCACCCTCTTTGAATTCTGCGGTTTTACATACGAGGACAAAATAACAATCACCTGTTCCTTAGCATGTCTAAGGAACATGGTGCAATACGTCATGACTTGCAGGTTTTAACTGAACTTATAAAAATGTATATATTTAGTTGAGATTAGAAAAGTCAGGCTACCTGATGGAGGTGAGAGTAGACATTGCATTGCCTAGTTTGGTCCCTTTAACTGTTTGTAGGGACAGTTATAACATTCCATAAATCAAGTAGCATTTCACTGAGCCGTTCTCTCCCTGCAGCTTCTACCATGCAAGCCCTGTAATTATTTAATACCCTTCTATCTGCTTATTAAGTGACTCACCACAGGCACTCGTAATTTTTGCCGTTATTTTTCATTGCTCACCTACTTATTTTTAATTCTGCTAATAATTTCTCCCATGCAAATGTGATCGTGGGATGTGCGGGGGGGGGGAGAGGGGGAACCCTCCCTCCCCAAATGTTCACGCTGCATATCTATTAGAATAATAGCGTTATGTATAAATAAATGACAGAGAGGCTGTAATTTTGAAAGGTATTAATCAACAACGATGTTGTGACTGAATACCGATCTCGACAAGTTTCGTTGCTTTAAAATTGCAATAATTTTTTGCAGCCCGTTCCTCCCTCAATGCAAGCAGGGATCTAGTTCCTTTTCACGTGCATTGGAACCGAATGTTCGGTATTTATCACCATGAGAGAGTAGATGAATGGGATCAGATCATGTGTGTGTAACATGCTAACCTTTCTCTTAAAACAATACAGAAATAATAATATAATAATAATAATACAATAAGTGGTATTCAACTGTGTACCTCCACCACCCACAAATCTGGTCTGGAGGCTTGGTGGAAAACACAGAAGAGGTTTGGAGTGGGTGTTGGTGGAGAATCGTGCATTAAACTAGTAAGAGACTGACACCAAAGGCCAGAGTCAGGAGGCAGAAAAGGGCTGAGAACAGGGCTGTGCACACACTTCTGAATCCAGCACGCTCCCAACATTGGTTTGGGAAGTGGTGCACACACGACGTTCGCCACACAACCCATATCTATCCTGTCGTTCCTTGGGAAATGCCGAGGTTTGATCCGTTTTCCCCAAAACTAACTTCATTTCGAACAAAGGAAAACAACAACAACATCCCTGCCCGTCTGGACCTAGTTCTGTTTTAAGCCAGTAATGTGTACACAGTCTTAAGTCAACCCCTGGAGACCACGCAAGGCTACATTTAGTGAACAATAAGGAAGCTGAAATCCAAGAGAGGCCAGGTCCCAAGAAAAGAAAAAGGCAGGAGAATGTGAATTAAATCTAAGCTAGGTTCTGTGCTACGAAAATGGACTACATCCTGCACAACGTGACTGAAGCCAGGCAGGATTTCTGTACTTCCAACATTTAGTTCATCTGTTTCTTTGGTGGGGGAAAAAAGATTTTGCTCCTGTCACACAAACACACACACACACGAATACCGTCAGCTGGGCTGTATTTATGTGGCTTTTGTTGCTTTCCTCAACACATGTCACAGGTTTTTAATTACTTTTGCTATTTGTGGCACCACAATAGCACTCAAACAGATCTGGTTTCCAGGGTGATTATGCAAGCCGATGTAGAAATTTGAAAATAGGTGGCCTCCAAAGAGCTTATTATTTTAAATGATATAGTATAACCTGCCGGTGGGTAAAGCCAACACTTGGGGATGGAGGTGGAGGAGAAACAAGCAAGGGAGACAATAGGAGGCAGAGTTGCCGGGGGTCACAAGCGCTGTTGCCCTGTTTGCGGGATTCCCATAGGCATCTCAATGGCCACCTCGAGAACAGGGTTCAGGACTATATAAACCTTGGCTTGATCCAACAGGGCTTTCCTTAGGTTCTTATGAGCATGGGGAAAATGGCTTGCAAAATACTCGCAGTCATTCATAGCATTAGGCTTAAGGCAGATGTTCCATCCATATTGGTTAATCTTGCTCTAGGAACGAGACGGCTTGAGAGTTTAGTTCCACCATGAATGATGCTGGAATGATTAATGCAGGCTCCCATCTTATATACTCTGACCTGGGAGTAAGGGAAAGGACCCCCGGACGGTTAAGTCCAGTCAAAGGCGACTATGGGGTTGCGGCGCTCATCTCGCTTTCAGGTCGAGGGAGCTGACGTTTGTCCACAGACAGCATTTCCGGGTCATGTGGCCAGCATGACTAAACCGCTTCTGGTGCAACAGGACACCCTGGTGGAAACCAGAGCACATGGAAACGTTGTTTACCTTCCCGCCGCAGTGGTACCTATTTATCTACTTGCAATGGCATGCTTTCGAATTGCTGGGTTGGCAGGAGCTGGGACAGAGCAAAGGGAGCTCACTCCATTGTGGGGATTCAAACCGCCGACCTTCTGATCGGCAAGCCCAAGAGGCTCAGGGTGTAGACCACAGCGCCACTCGCATCCCTGACTTAAGTAGGACTTAATCCTGAGAAACGCAGCACAGCACTGTAACAAAACGAATAAAGTGAGAAAGAGCTAAAGCTCCCAATAGTTGATTCTTCCTTCTTGACTTTCTCGCTTAACTTCCAGGGGGTTTCTTGTCAGAGCGTGTCCACTGATGGATGTGGTAGATCAGCAGCTTCCCGACCACGCCAAGCGTTGATGCCAGCCTTGCTTACCACCAAATTAGGTGTCTAATATGTTTTGGTTAAGGGACGCGGGTGGCGCTGTGGGTAAAAGCCTCGGCGCCTAGGGCTTGCCGATCGAAAGGTCGGCGGTTCGAATCCCCGCGGCGGGGTGCGCTCCCGCTGCTTGGTCCCAGCGCCTGCCAACCTAGCAGTTCGAAAGCACCCCCGGGTGCAAGTAGATAAATAGGGACCGCTTACTAGCGGGAAGGTAAACAGCGTTCCGTGTGCTGCGCTGGCTCGCCAGATGCAGCTTTGTCACGCTGGCCACGTGACCCGGAAGTGTCTGCGGACAGCGCTGGCCCCCGGCCTCTTGAGTGAGATGGGCGCACAACCCTAGAGTCTGGCAAGACTGGCCCATACGGGCAGGGGTACCTTTACCTTTACTATGTTTTGGTTGGTTTTTTAAAAATAATAATAATAATAATAATAATAATAAAGGATATTGAGCCATCAAAGCCGGACAAAGCTGATTATTTGGCATGAATATGCAATGCATCATAACAAAATCAAGTACACCAGCATCTGTGAAAATCAAAAGTAACAGAACGTTATACTCCATTGCAAAATTTATTGTTCCCTCCTCCGCGGTAAACAGCACAGAAAGAGTTATACCAGATGTGTTTTGCACATTAAAAGCAATTAATTAACAGCATGATCCTCGACATGTCTTGCCCGAAGAAAGTCTCTTTGAGTTCAGTAGGACTTGCTCCCAGGTCCAATACTCAATGTACTTAAACCCCACTGAATATTGTGGGACTTGTATCTGAATAGACATATATAAAATTGAACTGTAAATCACAGAAATTTGTCTTGGGTCCTAAGAACTGCAAGGATCATTCTGCTTGCAAAATGGGGCTTTCCTGTCTGCTCCCTTTTATCTGCATACAACATTTTTTTTCCAAAAACCTTCTTCCTTTTGCCTTTTTAAGGGCAACACAGGCCACAAGAAGATGCCAGGCAGTTTTTTTAAAAAAAAATATTTAGCCACTGGCTTTGCTGTTGCTATGCCATGGGTTGCTTGTAAGTATTTTACAGAGCTCTAGCTAAAGATGTCTCTGACTAGGAGCTGAGAGAAGAGGGCACAGGAATTAGAGGAATTCACAGACACAAGGTTCAGGGAGTGGATTGTGGAAGCAGAGGCTCATGAGACAGATGGATGGAGGAAGCAGAAGCAAATTAAGGGTGGCAGGGAAGAAAGTGGCAAGGCAATGAGGAACTTAGGAATAGGAGGAAGAGCTATATGTATTAAGCAAGGAGGCTTGTATGTTGTTAGCAGGAACTTAGGGGACAAGCAAAAGAACCTGGGATGATTGGATGTATGGGCTAGATATATGAAGGAGCAATATATAGTTCCAGTGTTTGGGAGTGACTTTCATATGTTTTTAACCAATCAGTCAAATCTTTCATGGAAAAAAATGAATCATTTTAATCCTGGATATTTTCCCTGAAATCAACTGGCTCAGATCAAATTTATGTGGTCCCCCAATGCCCTCTAACGCAAAAGGAAATGTATTTCAGTGGAAAGTGTACAAAAAATTATGGCTGTTTGCCAGGGCATTGTTTTCACTGCTACTATGCAAACAAACTGATTAAACAAAACAAAAACAATTTCAAAGTAATGCAAAAGGGGGGGGATCAGTGATTGCAGATGTTTGTGATCTGACAAGCAAAGAAAGAAACGCTGTGGTTCAAATTTCTAGTTGCCTGCTAACAAATGGAATACTGCCCCAAGATATTTTGGAAAAATAGGATTGATTCAAAATACGTTTCAAAAGTGAAGTTGTACTGGAAGGTTTTGGAAAATAAAACAAAATGTCCCTAAGAGAAGCTGCAAACTTGAGACTAGCCCTCCCTTACTTTTTAGGGCACCACCGAAAGGTTGTTTCAAGGTTGTAGCTCTTTCTAACACACACTGAATGCAACAGCGACACTCAGTACAAAAGCAAGACCGAGCCGCACTCTCGGCCAAAGAATCTGGGTGCTTAAGCCCCAGTTTAAATCGAATGACTGCAGTTTGGAAATGTCGGATTGCAGCATTCACTTCTTACGTTGATCTACAGCTGCAACGACATCTTTATTTAAACATTCTACCTGTTCCTTCGCTTAATGCTGATTCGAGACGCATTGTTTCGAGGAAGTGTTCTAGAATTTTCTCGGGCGTTCCTGACATCACGATATACCTGAGTAAAGGATGAAAAGAAACAGTGACCTAAAAAACCACTCTGAGCTTGTTGGAAAGAGAAGGTGAATACGAGTGTAACAAAGTGCACACGCACACATACACAGTGTGTGTAAAGCTTTAGCATAGGAAAGATACCCAGTGTAGAATATCTTTACATCTTGACTGATTTTAGCATACGTTTTGCAATATGACATGCTTGCAATATGACCTGTTTTAGTATCTTCAATTTGAGAAAAAGGGCCAAAAAAAAAAAAAGACAAGTGAGTTGTTTCTACAGGAGAGGGGAACAGAACTGCCAGCAGAGCAGTGGAAATATGGGACGCAATAGTGACACCAACAAAATAAGCATCTGCTACTAGACAATTTGAGTGGCAGCCGTTCCCCGCTGGGGCTAGTAGGGTGGAAAGCAAGGAGCCCCACATTAGACGGAGGTGGAGCCAATGACAGACAGAACCAACTCATTCTAGCTCTGTCCTCATCTTCCTCTTTCTACAAGAGGCAACACTGAGTCTAAGGAGGAGGAGGAGGAGGAGGAAGCTGGCAGGCTGTGCTGCCCCTTGGATGGGCAGCATGTTAAGGCAGGTAGTTGGCTGAGGGGCAGACTGAGGCTGGTGGGCTGGTGACCCATTTGTTCTCAATCAGCCAGTCTCCCTCCACATGACAGTGTACAACAGTCAAGAGGAGAGCCAAAGCATGGTCAATATGGCCGCTGGGTCAGTTGGGGTGGGAAACAGGCCCGTTTAGGAACAGGGCCAGCTCATTTGCTCTCTGGACTTAAAGGCAAGATGACGCACGAACGCACACACCAACCAACCACCATTCTATATACAGAAGCAGACCAGGCTGGCCACTGAATCTTACTGCGACACTGGCAATGGGACAGTGTCAAGGGCAGCAGACAAACCTAGGGGTTGCAGAACCGGCCACATGGCACAGAAGTGCACAACTGGGGGTGGGATGGGGAATCTCAGGAGGAATGGCGGTGTGGGGGAGGCTCCCACAACTCATTCACGAACGGACCCCCAGTATCCAACACCTGAGGCCGCCATCTCACTTTGCCCCATAGTCAAGCTAGCCCCGATCAGAATGAAGTTCCCTGTGATGTGCTGCTTTGGGATCCAAGCCATGACATTTTCTCGAGATGCTTCATGTGTGCTCATCATCCTACGTTATGCATTTGTAAGTGTGTTTGATTTCTTTCTCTCTCTTTTCACCCCAATGCTCTGCGATGGCCAATGGCAACAGCTAAGATGTGATCCCAAAAGGGAGGAGGGGTGGGTCACGTATGGAGTTGCCTCTTGCTGCTGTAGCGTTTGAATTATGAGGGGAAAGGTCCTTAGGAAATCTGTACCTTCTCCCCAAATTGAGCCAACTGGCTCGTATCCTCAAGTAGCCCTCGAAAAACGGTAGCTACGGCAGCCATCATGAAAGAAGCTAACAGGCCCCATTTGTCACTTCTCTGAGCATCAAACTATTGAGGTTCACTGAAAAATGGGAACTTATCTATTAAGCTTTCCTATTTCCTTCCGCAGTAAATGGGTTTCTTTTAGTGAACCTCTTGGTTCTTCTTACAACTTTGCATCATTTTACTGTGCTCAAGTATAGGGGGAAATCTAGGAAACTTCCCCCCTAAAAAGAAAAAAAAAGAAAAATGCTCCTGCTGAGAAATAAGTAGTGGAGCTGAGCTCCTGGGAGCTTCTCCTCACTTTGAGGAATGGCCATCATACGGTTCTTTTACCTGCCAGCCCTTTGGGAAGAGCTGCATTGATGTCCCAAGAATGCAAACCCCTTGTTAAGCCAAGTGCACAGAGAGATACTTGCAGAGATACTAACTGTGTGTCTTGGGGAGTGAAGCAGGGAAAGAGAGAGAGAGAGAGAGAGAGAGAGAGAGAGAGCGCTGTACTTTCAATATGAAAGTGGAAACGAAATTGTGGAAGTGGCTTGCGGTGCCTGGAGACTAGTTGGCAGCAGAACTCTGCAAGAGATCAGTCGGCAAAGAGAAGATGTGTTTGCCCGTAAAGGGAGAGGGGCATAGGGAGTGCTTCACAGTGGGCTCTGCTAGCAACATCCCTTTGAACACTGCAAGAGAGAGGAAAGCATTGGGGAACATGGAACAGACCCAAATTGCATCTCAGGTCATTCGTTCCCAATTCTTAAGCCTTTTCCAGCCTTTGCCACTTCCCAAATGAAAGAAGCCAGTTCTGGACACTGGTGCCTTGTGTATTGGGAACAATTATCCCAGAGACATGAAAACTGCTTATGATTACTCATAGGCACTTATAGGGTCTACTATACGCCAGGCATTTTATAGGGAACTGTAGTGATGTGTCCCAAAATGAGAGCCAGTGTGGTGTAGGGGTTAAGAGTGGTGGACTCATAATCTGGTGAACTGGGTTCGATTCCCCGCTCCTCCACATGCAGCTGCTGGGTGATCTTGGGCTAGTCATTCTTCTCTGAAGTCTCTCAGCCCCATTCACCTCACAGAGTGTTTGTTGTGGGAGAGGAAGGGAAAAGGAGATTGTTAGCCGCTTTGAGACTCCTTAAGGGGCGTGAAAGGCGGGATATCAAGCCAAACTCCTCCTCCTCCTTCTTCCCTATTTTCCAGGGACAGTCCCAGATTTACAGGAGCGGTTCCTGGTTTCTGATTTGATCCTGGAATGTCCCGCTTTTCCTTAGGACATTCCTGTTTTCATTGGAGAAATGTTGGAGGGTATGGAGTTATGCAACCCCTAAGGCAAGGGGAGATAAGTACCTATGCAACCTTTAGAAGACCTCTGAAGGCAGTTCTTCAGTACATCCTCAATTCCTACCCTGCAGGAGTTGGGCCAGACAACTTGATGCAAGGTGACTAATGAGACAGATGTGCACTTTAGGAATTGGAAATGAAAATAATAAATTATGTTTTCTTAATAGCAAAATGAATGCGGTTTTAAAAGCTTTTTTATCAGTAATTACTCTGCTCAGTAATAACATTCCTTATGGTCTGTGAACAGATTTTGCACGTGGGGACTATTTACAGCGAGACCTGCCTAGAGTTGATTTTTGACAGCTAAAGGGCCACAGCTAATGCGTTTGCAAGTTGATATATGTTGTGCGCTGCAGGGCATCTGACCAGCTGGTGATATCTTTTCAAATGCGACATAATGCACCCTTTTCAAAGGCAGGAAGAAAAGACTATTGGCTAAATAAAACCATTTGGAAGAGTTAATCATAGTCTTGCATCAACACTGTGGAATTAAATCATACTTGTGCTGAGGAGGCTGTGAGTTTCCTTGATTAGGAGCCCTGTTTCCTGCTGGGATCTTCTCGAGTACCAAGACATCTTGGTCATGTTCCTTAAGCCTGACTGTGTTTGCTTCGACATCCTGAAAGATGATTTTTAATCATTAACACGCCAGATAGAAACAACTTGGTTAAAAGCCGTGCTGCAAATGAAAATTAAAAGGCCATTGATATATGGTTTTATACTCCTAGAAAAAGTATGGGACCCCATCCCGGGAAAGACAGCTGCCCTTTAGTGTTATTGGCATCTGTGGGGCAAGCTGTATGGAACTTGCAACTAACTTAAGGTCCATGTATTTCCAGCATGACTGAAGTCAGTGTGGTGTAATGGTTAAGAGTGTTGGACTATGACCTCAGAGACCAGGGTTCAAATCCCCACTCAGCCATCAAGCTCATTGGGTGACATTGGACCAGTCACAATCTCTCAGCCTAACCTCCCTCACAGGGTTGTTGTGGGGACTAAATGAGGAGGGGGGAAACCATGTGTGCCACCTTGAGCTCTCTGGAGAAAAAGGCGGGATATAAATTCAATAAACAAACGAACTTCTCTTGGGTCATCAGGACCTTAGATCACAACATTGTGCTCAGTTAGGTCGAGATTTAACCAACCTAAGCAGCTTTCTCTACTTCCTTTATCTATCCATGAATCTTCCTTCATTACAGCGGAAGTGCTAAACACATTCTTTTTATCCAGGCTCTATAGAAAATTAATCCTTTTCCCCAGATGTCTTTTTCGTGGTTCAAAGGGAAGGCTTCGCCTTAGGTTCCTTACAATACTTCAACTAAATCCTTTCTCCCCCAGTACAAAACTGGATTCAGATTCCTTACTAATGCTTAACCAATTATGAGTAGTACTATTAGCACTATACTACTATCATGACCACTACTACTACTAGTAGTAAGATTGACAGCCTATTCCAGTCATAATCATTCTCTCCACAGCGAAGTGTAGCACAATGGTTTTTGCAAAGTTCAGCAGTGTGCTCCACAGCTGGAGAGACTACAACACCCTCTTTCACCACTGTTTTTACACCAGCAGTGGTGCAACAGCTGCCAACGATGGCTTACGTCTGTGCACAGATGAGCGAAGGAATCTCGAGCGTGCGGAGACCTGAAGGGAGAGTTGCGAAACGTTTGCAGCGCTCTAGAGCAAGCTCTTAAAAGTTGGGCAAACTCTTAACTTACCCGCAGTATCCTATTAAAGTCTTCCTTGTCGACTCTCAAGAAGTGGCAGTTATCTTCTCGCAGAACAATGGAAGCAGCTCTAGGAGCATCGTTCACTAATGCTAGCTTGCCAAAATCATCGCCTTCGTGTAGGGTACATACCACGCCCTAAAAACAACAACAACAAGAAGAAAAACACATTCACACAGAGAAACCGTAATTGGGGAGTCTGTCCCATTGACGCTCCATGTGCAAACACAGGATTTCTAAGCCAAATACTATAACAAATGTATCTGGCAGGGAATTTAACAGCCAAAATAACGATGAGAAGACAATACATGGCAGCTGGTTATTACTAATGCTACAGAAAGGCAAGGGCAAAGAAAGAATGGGGTTTGTTCTCTGAAATTTGTTTCAGAGACAGACAGACTTCTGGCTCTGCTAATGGTGGCAACTTTTATTTTTTTTATAAAGTCAATTTTTTTTAATCAAGTTTGTTGAACAACAGACTGCCAGTTTCTGATATGTATTCTTGCCTGCTATCAGACTGCACTGTTAAGTCCCATTTGTTATAATGACAAGAGGGGTTTTTAATTGTATCTAGTTTTTCCTTAACACCAAAGAAAATATTTGGCTTATTTTATTAAAAAATCTCTTATGCCATTTTTCCCCCTTAAATATGTCATCAGAGTGGCTCACAACATGCAAATAGTAACATAAATTGCAGCATAACTTCAGGTTTAAAAGGAACCACAGTTGTTTGGGTTGGACACATGAAGCTGCATTATGCTGACAAGAGACAATTGGGCCCTCTAACCCCAGATCCATCTGTTCTGGCTACTAGGAATGGGGAATTCACTCACAGCCTTTTCTAGCTGTTGGGTATGTCCCCTAAATCCGTTCCCACAGAATAAGGGAGGGTGCAGAGATGCACAGGGAAAGAACAGCGAGGAGAAGTTATACTGGCTAAACTGACATCCTTGTGCTAGTGGATATACCGTATTTTTCTGTGCATAAGATGCCCCCGTGTCCCTCTTTTTGGGGACTCCAAATTGAGAAAATGGGGGGGGGGAGATTGCCCAGACTTGTTGAGCTTTTTTGGGGGGGAACCAAAAATCGCTCACCTGCAGGACCGCCACAGCCAATCCCACACACATCGACAAAGCCACCAACACTGTTGACAATCTCCTGCTTGCAGCAGCCACCAATTGCCCATCCCAGCTCTCCACTATCCATGTATGAGACAACCCCCAATTTTTTGCATAATTTTTAAATAAAATAACCTCGTCTTATACACAGAAAAATACGGTATTTGGCTGGATACTGCCCATTGCTTCCACAGCAGAAAACAAACATTTTCACAACACACATATGACTGCATGCACACATTCTCTTACACATACAAGCTGTGACAATTTTAGGCACATCCAAATGAGAACCATTTTATGCTGGTGTTCCATCACCTATACATGAAATATGAGAAATACTAAGAATCTTAAAACAGTACCTTGCCATAAATGACTACATTGACTGATCCTTTCAGAATAATGTACCAAGAAGTTCCTTCTTCTCCCTGATTAAATACTGCAGAAGAGAGAGAGAGAAGGAGAGAATAATGTAAAGTGGCCAGGGAGGAGAGGTAGTAATGAGATTTATTTACTGAGAAAAGAAGAACATTCAACACCTTAAAAGCACAACAGGAGGGGGGGTGGAATCCACAGAAGATTGAAGTACTGGGGTTCTGAGGTGGTAGAATGCAAAGCACAAACAAGATACAGTCATACCTCGGGTTACAGCTGCTTCAGGTTGTGTTTTTTCGGGTTACACACCCGCCGAAACCCGCAAGTACCAGAAGGGGTTACTTCCGGGTTTCGGCGGTCGCACATGCGCAGAAGCACTAAATCACGTTTTGTGCATGCTGAATTGCAACCCGCACGTGCGCAGACACGCCGTTGCGGGTTGCAAACGTGCATCCCGCATAGATCGCGTTCGCAACCCAAGCATCCACTGTACTTCTTGCGACGACACCCGAGTACAGTGGTGCCCCGCAAGACAAATGCCTTGCAAGACGGAAAACCCGCTAGACGAAAGGGTTTTCCGTTTTTGTTGCTTCGCAAGACGATTTTCCCTATGGGCTTGCTTCGCAAGACGAAAACGTCTTGCGAGTCTTGCGATTTCCCCCCCGCTTCCCCCCCTTTTTCTAAGCCGCTAATAGCCTTTTAGCAGCTAAGCCGCTAAGCCTTTAATAGCCGCTAAGCCGTTAAACCGCTAATAGCGCTAATCCGCTAATAGGGTTGCTTCGCAAGACGAAAAAACCGCTAGATGAAGAGACTCGCGGAACGGATTCTTTTCGTCTTGCGAGGCACCATTGTATTCAATGTTCCTGTATGTCAAAACTCCCTGGGAGAAGAAAACTAACTAATATTTGATGTTTTCTTGTGTTCTTAATATTTTGTTGGGAGCCGCCCAGAGTGGCTGGGGCAACCCAGTCAGATGGGTGGCATATAAATATCATCATCATCACACCAGGAAGTAGGTTCAGCTAGAACCTCTCTCCCTGATTTTCTAAGACTTCTTCCTTGAAAGGATTTTTCTTTTTTGCCTGGGGGAGCATTCAAAATCACACACACACCCCATTTGAAGTCTGAAATGGTACGATCCATTCTGCTGCAGTCCCAGCTTAACAATGCTATTCCCAAGCAAAATTATTTGGAAGTATGCACTATGAAGATCCCTATGACATACTACCAAATAAATACGGGTGGAATAAGCATCCTGTTTTGAAAAGTGGGCATTTCCAATTCACTCTCACAGAGAACGAAAAGGGACTATTGAATCCTTCCCTGTGGTTAACAAAGACCCGAGTACTGTATAAATAAATTCATCCCATACATAATGGGATTTATCCAGGGCTTTTTTTTCAGGGGAACTCAAGAGAAACTCCGTTCCAGCACCACTCTGGTGGGCGCCATTGTCCTTTGTAAGAGAATGAGGGAAGCGTTCATGGTGAGTTCTGGCACCTCTTTTTCTAGGAAAAAAACCAGCACTGGATTTTGTCCAAGGTTGAGCATGCAGAAGACAGCTCATGCAACAGATCTTTCCTTACCCTCTTCCCTACAGCCCCTCGTAACCCACCTCCAAACTCTCTCCAGAGGGTTTTGAGGAGATCTGCCAAACTTTGTGGGCTGTGTTAAACAGAACTGCAATGGAAGTGGGGAGCGGGGGGTGGAATTGTCCAGAATCAGGTAAAAGACTCTTGTGCTCAGCCACTCAGGTTAACATGGGATACACAACCCCAGTACAAATGGCACAGCAAATTCCTTAAGGTTTTGTGCTCTTTTTTTTTCCCCCCTCAGGTCCTGAGTTTTCAACTGCAGTGCCAAAAGCAATTAGGTCAATACAGTTAGCTCAAGTGTAAACCTGTGGTAAAATTAATTTCACTTACAGACGGTTCCTGCTTTGGGATGTGACTCAAACACTAGAACACCTGCTAGCTCCCGCTTTACCTTGAAGCAAGACAAACAACAAGCATTATAGTTTTGTTTTTACATCCTTGACTTGTGTAGTTATATATCAACTCATAGGAAGGGTGGGGGAGGGTTCGGAAGGGAACGGGTGCCAAAACAGTCACAGAAAGCAGTGTTGAGCATCTTCATCAGTGTAGGGTCGCTATTGCATCTGTTGTGGAATGCAAAGAGAGTATGAGAAGTCATGCAGAAAGTACATGACTCTCTAAATAATTTGGTAGGATTTAGCAGAAAGTGGCAGACAGCAGTCTGACATAGTGCTATGGGATCAACATAATCAAACCCAAGAGCGTACGAATTCCTTGTATAAATACAATTATATGGAGGACACGAGCTCAGACACCACATGCCCACCTAGTCACTCTTATATTATATATATAAAATCCTTTATTAGGCACAGCAAACCACACATTATCAAACAGACACCGTATACAAATTGTGCAAAATACGAGCTCAACATAACAAGGCTAGTCCCGGTCAGATCTTTAACTCCAGAGAAAATCAATTTGCATAACTAATACAATACAGGACTACCAAATCCCCGATCAATTAAGAACCACTAATTCTCTTTATAATGACCCAGTCTTTCTACATGGACAGCACTCAAAGTGCTGGTCACTCTTATATATGTATGGGCCCTTCCGGATTGCTAGGTTTTGTTTTGTTTTTGAGGTATATTCTGCAACGTGTCATTGCAACAACAAGACAGTAATGGTGGATATATACTAGACTGTTCGCACCTAATTCCGCTTTATAAATTGTTCTGCAATCCTTCCCCAAGGGTTATTGCTGTTGGAGCACTCTGGCACTATAGTGCAACAAAACTCACACAACCCCAGAATATTTGTGATATATAAAAAGTGCTGGGGTTTCAGCAGGTCGTAACGGGATATGAAACGATGGGAAATGAAGTGGTAAGTCTGCCCTGAAACTTATTTTTCAGCTGCAAATAGTATTTAAAGTGTGATTGTGTGTAACTGCCCAGATACCATCATGAGCACAAATCATCATGAATGTGTAACAAAATGATTGGCTGGGACAGAACTTGTCCTCACAATCCAATACTATGCCCCTTTTGTACCCATATAAGGGAGGCATTGGTCAGCTACAATTCTATTTATTTATTTATTTATTTATTTGCCATTAAGGGTCACAAAATATAAAATGCTCACTGTTGTTGAAAGATGAGACAAAGCTTTAATGTGCAGAAGTTCTTCATATATAATTTCTAGGTCATCAGCAGTTCTCTGGCCAGGCCTATGATAAAGCATACACAAATATTACAAACTGAGTAACAACAGAATATCACAAACTAAATTTAAGTGAACTGTTTGGCCATATGAGATCAAGGAGTTTGTTTGTGGTCTTATATTTATATTCTACCTTTATTTCGTCAAAGAACCCAAGGTGACATGCATGTGGCTGCAGGAAGTCAGCTGTCCAGACAATGATCAGATCCAGCCCTAATCAACTTCTGCAAGATGGCAGCTTTACGGGCTTTCAGACCATACTACCTGACCATAGTTAACCGATTTAAAAACTAATTGCTTCCATACAAGAGCATTTTGCAGTCTTGCATATTCTTCAAACAGATTAATTGTATTCACACATTGTATTCACCAAAGCAAGGCAAATGGTAAAGGGACTCGGGTGGCGCTGTGGTCTAAACCCGAGCCTCTTGGGCTTGCTGATCAGAAGGTCGGTGGTTCGAATCCACATGACGGGGTGAGCTCCCATTGCTCTGTCCCAGCTCCTGCCAACCCAGCAGTTCAAAAGCACACCAGTGCAAGTAGATACCGTAAATAGGTACCGCTGTGACGGGAATGGAAACGGTGTTTCTGTGTGCTCTGTTTCCGTCACAGTGTTCCGTTGCGCCAGAAGCAGTTTTGTCATGCTGGCCACATGACCCAGATAGCTGTCTGTGGACAAACACCGGCTCCCTCAGCCTGAAAGCGAAATGAGCGCCGCAACCCCATAGTCACCTTTGACTGGACTTAACCGTCCAGGGGTCCTTTACCTGACCTCACCAAAGCATCCCCCAAAATGATCTCTACCTGGAATCAGATAACTCCCACCTCTCCATAGCTAGGGTAAGGAATTTTGGGCTTGCTGCCTTGACGCGGAGAATACCTGTTGCTAAGGAACTACAGCAGGAGAGGACCATTGTGTTATGTCCTGGTTAAGGGCTTCACAGAGGCATCTGATTGGTCACTGTGGAGAAACAGAGTCCTGGACTAGGTAGGTCTTTGGTCTACTCTAGCAAGGTTCCTTTTACATTCTTACAGGGCGCTTTTCTCTCCATCTCTCTCTCTCTCTATTAACAAAAACTCTGCAAAATGGCTGACTTTGCTTTGAAATGCTTCAAAACTCAAAAGAAATTTTCTCATCGTCCTGGCCAGAAAAGTCACACTAAATAGAGATGTATTTGCTGCCTGTGTGAAGTTCCCTTCTTTGCAACCGACCGTATAAATAATGTATGAGGGAGGAAGAGACAGAGGGAGAGAGAGAAAGGTTTGTGGCACTACCCGGCAATCTTTTCACTCAGCAGTTACGGTATTTCATCTTTGCCAAAAAAGAAGTGGGCTGAAATTTCTCATTTAAATAGATGTAGCCCCGGAAAAGGTCATTTGGAATCTAAAGTGACTTTACCTCACAGATCTGTCAAGGAAGCTATTTTTCATCAAGTATGCCTATAACAGAGTTGCTAAACTTTTCTGGAGCCAGAATCTCAAAGCAGGTTTTTTTGGGGTGGCGGTTTCTAATTGGAATGTATTGAATGAAGAGTCGCTTTTAATTTCTGGCCGATGAATACCTTTTCGTGGTAGAAAAGTCGGCAAAAAAGTCAAGATCTCTCGGCTGAACTGCCGTGTTTGAAAAGCCCAGTTGACAATGATATCATGACACACAGGAAACTGCATTTTGTGTGTGCATGTGTGAGAGAGAAGGCATTACATTATGAGTGTCTTATGTTAGTCAATATAAAGCAAAAGCTGCTTTAGTACAGCTACAGGGAGATTTTGGTGGGGACGTGGGTGGCGCTGTGGTCTAAACCACTGAGCCTCTTGGGCTTGCCAATCAGAAGGTCGGCAGTTCGAATCCCCGCGACCGGGTGAGCTGCCATTGCTCTGTCCCAGCTCCTGCCAACCTAGCAATTAGAAAGCACACCAGTGCAAGTAGATAGATAGGTACTGCTGTGTTGGGAAGGTAAACAGCGTTTCCATGCGCTCTGGTTTCTGTCATGATGTCCTGTCACACCAGAAGTGGTTTAGTCCTGCTGGCCACATGACCCAGAAAGCTGTCTGTGGACAAACGCTGGCTTCCTCAGACTGAAGCGAAATGAGCACAGCAACCCCATAGTCGCCTTTGACTGGACTTGATTCTACACTATTCTGCCAAATAACTTGAATCCTATGCACACAGACTTGGAAGTATATACTATAGAAATCAGTGGAATTTTCTTCCAACTAAACATGGCGAGATTGGGTCTGCAAAACGGTTAAAATGCAGGCAAAACATTTACTAACTTGCAGTGGGACATGTTTGAAAAGTAGCACAGAATAACAGCAAAATGAAAAGACACATAAAACTGTATCTCTAGTTGAAACATCTTTTTTGTTGCTATAATTTTCATCGGCAAAACAGACTATGGTTAGATTTTTCCATTCAAAGGCATGTTTTATTATTCATTCATTTATTACGTTTGCAGTATAACATTAATAAATTCCACCATTAAAAATAAACAATCTACATAAAAGTCATAAAACTGTATAAAAAGCAGATCAGATGGCAGCCAGTTTAAAAACATAGTTAAATTTTAAAACAGAGATTAAACACAACGAAACAGGCAAAAGGAAAAAAAGCCCTGTTTAAATAAAAAGGTTTTTTGCCACCTGCCAGAAACCGAGCAACAAGGAGGCTAAATGAACATCGTTGAAAATGAATTTTCAAAATCTGGATATAGCCACTAAAAAGGCCCTTTCTTGATTTCCCACCAAATCCACATCAGTTGTTGGTTGGACCGAAAAAAGGGCTGCTCTGGAAAGTCATATCTGGTGATAATTGCAAATGTGACTGCTACTTGGGCATATTTGAAGATTGGCAGGCTCAAGACCAAAACGCTGACTCTGTTTTCCCCCTTTCCATGTCATCATTACCTTTTAAAAGCAGCACCTCATTAGAAGTTTTTAATTGTATGGATATCATCTTTTTATTATTTACTGGCAGTATTTCAACAGTGCAGTTGCAAATGTGCTTTTTATTTTATGTGTGAGCGCGCTTGCATTCATTTCGGGTGTTTTTTGATTGGTTTTGGTAATCAGCCACGCAGGTATAAGCCCCTAAATTCCCACTGCATTAACAACCTGCTTTTTATCTGGTAGACAGGCCATTCTGATTCATATATACTTTAAGCTTTCCTTTAGCACGAGTGAAAATGTCACACGGTCTGTTGCAGAGGCACCTCAGACTTCTGCTTGTCCAGGTATGGGAAGATATTAAGCGGTGTGGTGCACCAATGATGTAGATTTCTCGGATCCTGCTGTGTGAAGACCTACTTTCTACAGGAAACCTGTTGGGTGAGCTATGTCTTAGTTATACCCAAGATAAAGTAATTGGGAGGTTCCGGGAAAAGCAAACTACACATTAGTGGAAGGGAGAGCTTGGTTGAAATTACATGATCAATAAACACTGTTGGCTGCTTGAGTAGTCTATCAAGGTCACAGACACCGAGTTTCTCTGTTGCTGCCATGTGGACAAGAATGAAAATTGTATCTCGGTATATAAGCACTGCTGTACCTCACGATGCCTGCTTATCCCTGTTCTTACTGCAAACTTGAATAAACCTCTGTCCAAGAAGAAAAAAGATCAGGGTGAAGAGGACAAGATGGCAGTCAATCTAATTTTATTTAGGGTCTACTATATGCCAGGCATTGTATAGGGAACTGTAGTGATGTGTCCCAAAATGAGAGCCAGTGTGGTGAAGTGGTTAAGAATGGCGGACTTGTAATCTGGTGAACCGGGTACGCGTCTCCGTTCCTCCACATGCAGCTGGGTGACCTTGGGCTAGTCACACTTCTTTGAAGGCTCTCAGCCCCACTTACCTCACAGAGTGTTTGTTGTGGGGGGAGGAAGGGAAAGGAGAATGTTAGCCGCTTAGAGACTCCTTTGCGTAGTGATAAAGCGGGATATCAAATCCAAACTCTTCTTTTTTAAAAAATAATTTTTTATTACATTTTCATAACTTTAACTACAGTGGTACCTCGGGTTACGTAGTTAATTCGTTCCGGAGGTCCGTTCTTAACCTGAAACTGTTCTTAACCAGAAGCACCACTTTAGCTAATGGGGCCTCCCGCTGCCGCCGCGCTGCCAGAGCACAATTTCTGTTCTCAACCTGAAGCAAAGTTCTTAACCCGAGGTAATATTTCTTGGGTTAAGCGTATGTAACCTGAAGCGTATGTAACCTGAAGTGTATGTAACCCGAGGTACCACTGTAATTAATTTCAAACTTCAAATATGTTATATATTTCTCTTATAACTTGACTTCCCACCTTCCCTTCCACGCTGTTTTTATATGAACAGAACAGTGGTGACCTGGCTCCCTCATAACCAGTTCCTGTGCCACCATTGGGTATGTCAGCCAACCAGCTAGATCAGGGGAGGTGTTTGGTGAGTGCAAAAGCACTGCTGCGGCTTCCGCCATCCCTAATGGGGCGTGTTTGTGTGCAATACTCTGGGGGGTGAGCCAGCAGTGGAGCAAGCCGATCGGGCGCCTGGGGCGGCGCATGTGGCCTGCGCCCGTGGATGCGGGGCCAGCCGGGGCAGGATGCTCCGAGGGGTCTGCCTGCCTCATCCCACTCAGCTGCCCTACAGCTGAGGGGGAGGCAGCAGGCGGACCGTTTGGGGCAGCATGGAGCCTGCGGGCACCCAAGCCACCACGTCTCTCCCAGGAGAGACACGTGGCTTGGGCATCCTGCAGGCCCCATGGTGAATGCTGCCCGGCATTTTGTCACGCCCCTCAGTAGTGACACCTGGGTCAACCCACCGCCACCGCACCCCCTTCTTCCGCCACTGGGCTGAGCAGGCAAGGGGATGCCCCTGGGGGCCCTGCTAGGGCTAGTACTTGCCACAGTACTTGCCAAAATGTGTTGGACGTGTGGGATGTAAGAATCAGGTGCAATCAAACACAACATTGCTAGAGTAGACATGAAGGTTGTCTCAGTCCTCCAGCCGGAACTTCCTGCTTTCCAGGACTGAGACGAAACTTCCTATGTGTAACTTGAGATGGAGTAGAAAGAACCAGAACCACAAGCTGGCGACCATCTTGTCTCCTCTGGTCTCTATCGATGCCATCTTAACAACAGCACTACTAAGATGCACCCTTGGCTCCAGGCCAAGAGAAGAAAAGGGGGGCTTTCTCCCATAAGGAGATAGTCACCCCATTTAAACTATGTTACAACCTTTTAAGTCTGCCTTCTGGGAACCTTTGTGTGAACAGATGATTACTTGTGACTAAACGTTTTATACAGAAGACTGTGTAGCACAGGGGTATCAAACTCAAATTCATCGGGGGCCACATCAGCAGTTTGGTCACCCTCAAAGGGCTGGTTGTATCTGTAGGACTATGTGTCCACTCTTTATTATCATAAATTATTGTCACTGCATTCAATTATTACTGTTTTTTGTAATAATGTAAGTAATAACTAGCTCTGAAAGCAGAAACATAGGTTTCCTGAATGCATGTAAAATGGAGGTTTCCTGTGTAGAACGGCTGGCGGCGCTAGAGGGCAGACGTTCTCTGGCTTGTAGGCTGCCGCGCATGCGCTGAAGAGGCGGCTTTCTTGTGTCAAAAAAAGAAGAAGCGAGAATAAAAGGTGAAGGCTGGCGGCCGCCGGCGGCTACACGGGCCACAGGACGAGGTCTGGCGGGCCGGATTCGGCCCGCGGGCCTTGTGTTTGACACCCATGGTGTAGCGTCTTATTTTAGGAGGGATTAAACAGGGGAAATACCAGGAAATATTTACAGAGACTGTAAGGAGTCTGAGCAAGCTATCTGCTGTGCGTGTGTTTAAAAAAGGGGAATGTTAACTCTGCTGATTTTGTTGAACTTGTACAGACAAGTTGGGATAGGATCTCTTAGGCAATATATCCTCCCCCGTATCCCTAAACATTCCCACAGGATGCTGATACTGGCCTGCTATATGCCTTGACCTTAAGGGCTGATAGTGGGAAGGAGGGGAGGGATTTTAATGAGAAAAACAGTGCTGGAAAAAGAGTAAATCTGCTCCCCCCAGTGATCAAAATCGGGCTTTCCCATAACTACTATTAGTATTTTTACAGACTAGACTGCAAGAGATCTTGTAACATGCCCAGTATGGCACTTGGAAAACTGGGCAAAGTTGCAAGAAAGGATCCATAGCCTCGTCACACAGCAACTGCGTATTACAGTTAGCAATTTCCTTGTTAAAAACTGGATTCGATTCATCGTTTTTAACTGCTTGAATTTGTGCAATCAGCTAGATACAGATTAAGAAATGAAAATTCAATTTAGGTTGTCATTCCTGAATTGCAAAATAAAAATTTAAAAACATTAAGTCACAGCTTTCAAAAAATAAATTCCAGGCGCATAAACTATGGATTTCTACTCGCAGCTTTGTTGCTTGCACTGTAAAAGAAGCTAATTTTACATTTCTAGCAATGCATGTTTTTAACAGGGAATGTGGCGGGTGGCAGGGAGAGAAACAACCTTACCAAGAGCAACAAGAGTCTGCCAATTTTTCCCCCTTACAGCTTTCTTTTCTGCCTTCTTTTTTTTAAAAAAACAACAACACTACAGGCTTTCTTTCATCAATTGACAGTTAAAACGTAGCAGTTAATGTAATAAATAGAGAATTTTTAAAGTTGCCTGTCAAAACAAGTGACACATTCTGCAAGTGAGTTTCAAATTGGAAACAATAGAAAGCACCTTTTAAAGCAACAGCGTCATTATAAAATCAAACGCTCAAAGTGATCTTTTCAGCATGTTTTTTCTTTCTTTTTGAAATTGCATTATTTCTTTCACGGTAATTATGCGAGTTTTTTGCATCCTCTTGGAGAGTTGCATGTCAAAGGCAGCAGCTGTGCTGATATGCAAATGGGAAGTATTTTTTCAAGCCAATACACAGCCAATATTCTACACCTCTTGTAAACTTTAGTCATATGGCCAGGATAACTTGTCAAAACTAGGGCAATTTCCCACAGATTAGACAGTAAATCTGTGTCTGGACTGCACCACAGACTACAGATCAGGACTAACATGATAGGGACCATACTCATAGGGAGTTCCCATGATAGGGACCGTACTCAAACTTGGAGGAGGAGGAGGAGATTAGAACTTTTCTCCCTGATATATAGATTTACATATGTGGGGAACAGTGGAGTACAATCGTACCTTGGAAGTAGAACGGAATCCGTTCCGGAAGTCTGTTCGACTTCCAAAATGTTCGGAAACCAAGGCGCGGTTTCCGATTGGCTGCAGGAAGCTCCTGCAGCCAATTGGAAGCTGCGGAACCTGTGTCGGACATCCGGGTTCCAAAAGAACATTTGCAAACCATAACATTCACCTCCGGGTTTGTGGCATTCGGGAGCCAAAACATTCAACTTGCAAGACGTTTTGACTTCCAAGGTGCGACTGTATTCTCACATGGACCCCCAGTGGCAGTTGGAAGTGGTACAGTCCAGCCAATGGCTTATGCCCTTACTTGCTTCTTTCTAAGAACAAGGTCCATTAAGGTAACTCAAATCCTCTGCTGGGTCAGAGGTCTTGCCATACTCCAGCGAAAAGGAAAAAGGCCATCTGAGACCCATGCTTTTTTTTTTTTTTTTTGGTACACAGGTAGATTGTCCAATGCAGTGATCGGCAATTTGGCTTGCGTCGCTTGTGATTGTTAGGGTTTGCCAGTTGGATGAGTGATATTTGGTTTGGCATTCCACCCCCCCCCAAAAAAAGTTGCTCCACAACCATGGGCTCCCCCCCTAAAAAAGCTCAACAACTCTGTGCCATCTCCCCCCATTTTCTTAAATTTGAGAGCATCTTATACATGGGGGCGTCTTATAGACAGGAAAGTATGGTAGTTTTATGTTATCTGTATGCAAATGCAAAAAGTCACATGAGGTAAATAGAAAGGAAAAGTTGGAGGTGGAAATTCTGTGGAACTTTTGGAAGAATTTTTGGCTACCATTTTAGGTATGCATGGAGTCTAGCTAATGATGATGATGATGATGATGATGATGATGATGATAATAATAATAATAATAATAATAATAATAATAATAATAATAATAATAATAAAAATTATTTATACCTCGCCCATCTGGCTGGGTTTCCCCAGCCACTCTGGGCGGCTTCCAACAAAAGATTAAAAATACATTCGCTTATACTGAAGCAACCTGTAGGATCAATTCTGAAGTGGCTAAAACAAACAGTGGTATCCAGGTAATATTTGGAGATATTAGATCTATGAAGCTGATTATGAATGCAGTGGGACATAATCCTGTCCCCCCAAATAAAATCAAACTATAGAGAGCTACAGTTCCTCTCAGATATTATTGTAACTACTCTGAAGAAAAGGAAGACATTCGACTCTTGTTATAGATATATTAAAGGGAAAGGATACCCCTATTTCATCTATTAATATAGCTCATTGGCTTTCACAAACAGAGGGCGTAAGAGTGAAAACAATAGTGTACCCTCTTTTCTCTTCACATCACATACAAATAGCATAAATCTATTTGTATACATCAACAGAAGGAAGAGAATTAACAGAATTAATGTCTTCAAGGAGTTCCACAATTCTGGTGCCAAAGATGGAAAGGCCTTGCCTCTTTGAGGCCTTCCAACATCCTGCAGACTGTGGAGAAAGGCAGAACTGGTCCTTCAAGAAAGATCTTAAGGTATTCATATACAACAGGGATACTGGAATAGATGCCTGCAACTTAAAATACAAAGGCTACATGACAGCATGACTCATACCCAGGCTGATGAGGTGAGAAGGGAAGCATAGGGGTATGGACAAGAAGGACCCAGAAAGCTGACTTTCCTCAAGACACTACTGGAAGAAATCAACAAACTTATCCAAAACAGCTTCATACAGTGGTACCTCGGGTTAAGTGCTTAATTCGTTCCGGAGGTCCGTTCTTAACCTGAAACTGTTCTTAACCTGAAGCACCACTTTAGCTAATGGGGCCTCCTGCTGCTGCCGCACCACCGGAGCACGATCTCTGTTCTTATCCTGAAGCAAAGTTCTTAACCTGAAGCACTATTTCTGGGTTAGCGGAGTGTGTAACCTGAAGCATATGTAACCTGAAGCGTATGTAACCCGAGGTACCACTGTACTCTCCCTTACACTGACAGCCAATCTCCAAGCTCCATGCACCTCCCTTTTATTTTACCTTTGGCTTTTTAAATACAAAGAAAGGAAGAAACTGAAAAGCAACCTCAAATTATCCTATCCTTTCAAATCATCCTATCCTAAGGAGGTTTCTCACAGGAGAAAGGTGTCAGGCAAATGTTGGGCTGTGGCCATAGAGTTCTTGAGGGTGAGTGGCAACCTAGTTATCTAGCACTGGGAATATGGCTCAAGGTTTGAAATGTATCAACCTGCTGTCAGAGACAAGTCAGTAATTGTTGATGATCTTACGGCTTTCTGAGGATCATCCTCATATGGGCGTCTGGTCCAATCTGCGAGAGGAGAAGCATGGTGTCTTGCAGTTCTTCATCGCATTCTTTCTTCTCTTCCTCAGTTGGCATCGGGGCATCTTCATGCTCATCGTCCAAAAACCGATAAAACAAGTATTTGTCCTGGAAGTTTTGTTCTTGATCCACTGAAAATATCATCAATACGAATGTAACCATTAGGACAGGAAGGCATTATAGCTTAAACAAGGTATCATGGCCTGGAAGCCTAGTTCTCCAATGGGAGAACTTCAAAGTCACTGTCTTCTGATCACTGCATCAGGGCAAGCATTTTGGCTTGCCAGAGAGAAAGATCCCCACCGCTCCATAGCTGTCAAGTGTCCCTTATTTGAAGGGACAGTCCCTTATTCCAGTGCCATGGCACGCTGCTGTCCCTTATTGATGGCTGTCCCTTAAATGTCCCTTAAATGATGTCCCTTAAATTTCAAAGGAAGCAGCTCCTCTCCCTCCCTCCCTGCATGCCTTGTGTGTGGCTAGTTAATGCAAGCTGAGGGGTTTTTTGAATGCTGGACGCCATTTTGTTGCACGTGCTGCTGCAAAATTTGCAGTGCAAAGCCAGGCCAGGGAGCCATCTTAAGTTGAGGCTGCATAGGCCTTGTGGTGCATGTGATTCAGATTCTGTTCAGTTAAACCTCTGGTTACAAAGTTGGTTGGACAGTGTTCTCGAAGCTACCAGCATGAGTTTGACCAGACTGCAGGAGGACAGGAGGACTGGAGTGCCTGGAACAGATGAGACTGCAGGTCCCTTATTTTGGCCGCTGGTCCCTTATTTTCAAGGCTGTTGGTCCCTTATTTTCAAATCTGTAAGTTGACAGCTATGCACCCCTCTCCTCCCCTCAAGCACTGTTCTGGTGGTTTTCCCAACTCCCCGAAGCCAACTGGGTGTGTGGGCAGAGGTGGGCAGGGGGAAATCCCCATTATGCTAGCAGAAATCCTTCTCATGTAGTACCTGCATAGTTAAGACACACTTGCCTCTTCATGCATTCAGTCTGACCACAAAAGGGGTGTACATGCTTATGAGCCTCCTTGCAAGCCCCTTCAGAGATAAGCACGAAATTTGGCAGTGGAGGAGTAGGGCTGGTACACAAAGGAATGTTGGGGGTTGGCGTGCTCTTTCTGCCCTTGCATAGTCAAGAGGAACATCTCCACCTCCATCGTTCAGTCCGGACACTGAGGTCCAGCTCCGAGGGCCTTCTGGCAGTTCCCTCACTGCGAGAAGTGAGGTCACAGGAACCAGGCAGAGGGCCTTCTCGGTAGTGACGCCTGCCCTGTGGAACGCCCTCCCATCAGATGTCAAGGAAATAAACAACTATCTGACTTTTAGAAGACATCTGAAGCCAGCCTGGTTTAGGGAAGTTTTTAATGTTTGATGTTTTATCATGTTTTTAATATTCTGTTGGGAGCCGCCCAGAGTGGCTGGGGAAACCCAGCCAGATGGGCGGGGTATAAATAATAAATTACTGTTATTATAAAAGGGCCATTATCTCACCAAACATTTCTATCTATCTATAAGCAAGTTCCTGAGTGCCATGACACTGTTAGCATTGCACAATCCCAAAGCATCACATAATCTAGAGTTACGCAGATGTAAGTATGGGGCTATTTAATAAAAACCCTCCTTACTGCTATAAAACTCAATGGGTGGTAGCCAACTATTCAACAAAATCCCACCAGTTTACAAAAGAAATGGACATTAACCGCCCTGAGATATTTTGATGAAAGGCGGTATAGAAAATAAATAAATAATTCTTTAAAATCAATTAATTAAGTTGAGGCAAAAGCATGCCAATCCCCTTCCTCACCATTTGAATTCCACAATCCAAATTTCCCAATATGTACTCAAATCCCTCCTGCAAAATACTGACATTCCAAAGACACTCCATAATATTATGTGTTTTCACAGATGGTTATGCTCCTAAAAGAACTGTGATTGCTAAGGAATCTATGCCATGGATCTAGTAAAGTGTTTTCCAAACTTGAGTCTCCAGCTGTTTTCAGGTTATAATTCCCATCATCCCTGACCATTGGCTCTTGTTAGCTAGGGATGATGGGAGTTGTAGTCCACACACACACACACACACACACACACACACACACAACAGCTGGAGACCCACGTTTGGGAAATACTGATCCGGGTGGGAGGAATTTCCCATAAAGCAAAAGAGCTTCTCTTACCGTGATTGAGAACACCTTCTTCCAACAATACTTGCCACATGCCAACCGCCTGCGTCCGTAAATGAACGCACGAACTCTGCTGCATTATCCAGTCTACCAGTTCTGTTCCTACACAGCACTGTCTGAGGAAAGAAATACATTTTTTTAATGTTTTACATCATCTAATGGTTTTAAATATTTGATATATAATAACTATTTAGAAATAAATGGAACCAGGTCAAGAAAGTGACTTCAAAGAAAATGGCAAGACACTGGATACAGGATTATGCATATACGGTCACAGGTTTTCCCTTTAAGCCAGGCATAGGCAAACTCAGCCCTCCAGATGTTTTGGGACTACAACTCCCACCACCCCTAGCTAACAGGACCAGTGGTCAGGGATGATAGGAATTGTAGTCCCAAAACATCTGAAGGGCCAAGTTTGCCTATGCCTGCTTTAAGGAATGAGGAAAACGGCTCGGAAAACATTTGCCCCCAATCCTGGGGAAACAGAAGAGGCCTCCTTTATCCTTCCTGCCTCTCCCAAATTCTCCACACACCACGGAGAATTCAGAGGGAAGGCAATGGCGCACTCTCTCTCCTATCACAGCCTCTGGTGTCCAACTTCTCAGAGCAAAGTGGGCACTTGCTTTGCATCCTTTCCTCCAGCAGACTCGGGAGAGGGAACAGTCAGCCTTTCTGGGCCTGCAACTAGTCTGCCCTCCCCAAGTCTCCTGGAACTTGATGAAGAGAGAGGGCCATTCAGTCTGTGCAGTGTAAAGGCACAAGGGTAAAGCGAGTGTGTTTCAGAGCATGGAACAGAGTGATAAATAACTCTCCCCATGCCACTGGTCCTGTTAGCTAGGGATCATGGGAGTTGTAGTCCCAAGACAGCTGGAGGGCCGAGTTTGCCTATGCCTGGGCCAGAGCTATCCTTTATTGGGTTTCACTGTGATGAAAACAAAAAAGAAAATCTCATCTGTTCCTAGATGAAGGTTTGTTTTCCATTCTGATGAGGAGTTCTGTGCAATTCAAATGATTGCAAGTTGAATAAAATAAATCTCCGGAACCTATTTCGTTCCTAATATAGAAAAAATAAAAAATCCCCAGCTACTAACTTCCCACACATATTTACTATTAGCAACAGAAAAGCTAAGCCCTAAAGAGCATTTAATTAATTTATTCAGTCCTCTTGAGAAGGTGCACCACATTACTATTACTATTAGTAGGGGGAAAGAAAGAAAGGTGGGTTAACTATCCTTAGTTTTAAATTTCTATTCTGGCAGAACTACACAGATAATTTAGTTTACCCAAGGCAGTGCTGCCACCAGCAGGATACACAGAAGCATGAGCGATAATAAACATAAACCTCTATCTACTAAAACAGAGAGAGGGAGAAAGAATTACAAGTACAATGAAGCCCAATCTAAGGGGGAAGGCTCAATTTAAGCATGAAATTGGACATTTAAAGAATGCTTTTGTTCACGTGGCATTTTGGGCTGCAGGAGAAATTCAGTCTGCCTATTAAAGGGCAAATCTACCTAATCTGCGCTTCCTGAAACAGTATATGAAGAGGAACACAGCCATCCTTCAAAATCTGCACTTTTCCAAATTCTGCAGTGCAATTCTCCAACCACAAATGCATTTACTAAGTAAAGTGTGCAGATTAGGCAAAAACAACATACAAAAATCTGCACGTTAGGAGACATTCGCTCTGAAATGCTGACAAAATTTCACGAGGACTTTAAAAAACTGATCATCAAACTGATGTTGAAATGAACTTAACAGGGAAAATGAGAAATTGACACAGATTTGCCCTAATGGTAGACCACCATATGGCCTTTGCCATTATTATTATTATTATTATTATTATTATTATTATTATTATTATTATTTGCATTTATATACCATCTTACTCGCGGGTGGTGCAGGGACACGGGTGGCGCTGTGGGTTAAACCACAGAGCCTAGGGCTTGCCGATCAGAAGGTCGGCGGTTCGAATCCCCACGACGGGGTGAGCTCCCATTGCTCGGTCCCTGCTCCTGCCAACCTAGCAGGAGCGTTTCCATGCGCTGCTTTGGTTTCGCCAGAAGCAGCTTAGTCGTGCTGGCCACATGACCTGGAAGCTGTACGCCTGCTCCCTCGGCCAGTAAAGTGAGATGAGCACCACAACCCCAGAGTCGGTCACAACTGGACCTAACGGTCAGGGGTCCCTTTACCTTTACTTACCACCTTTCTCATCCAAGGAGCTCAAGGTGGTATGTACATGGTTCTCATTCTCCCCCATTTCACCTTCACAACAACCCTGGGAGGTAGGTTAGGCTAAGAGATGGTGACTGGCCCAATGAGCTTAATGACTGATTGGGGATTTAAACCTTGGTCCAGCACACTATAATCATTACGCCACACTGGCTCTTTGTTTGAACCCAACTGCCTAGCCTATGCATGCATCATTTCTTCTATTTAACACACACTCAAGGCTATCGTTTTCAATCTGTACTTGGTGGGTTGCCATCGTATCGCAAGCACTGATACAGTCGTATCTTGGGTCTTGGGCCTTGCGACTTGAACGTTTTTTGCCCGAACACCACAAACCCGGAAATGAGTGTTCTGGTTTGCGAACGTTCTTTGGAAGACAAACATCCAACAGGGCTTCCGTGGTCTCTGATTGCGTGCAGGGAGCTCCTGCAGCCAATCGGAAGCTGCGACTTGGTTGTCGAATGTTTCTGGAAGTCAAACAGACTTCTGGAACGGATTCTGTTTGATAACCAAGGTACGGCCGTATTTGGAAACCTCAAAAAGCAACAAGCTACAATTAAAAGTCACTAGATGGTGCTCGCTGGACCATAAAGAAGGCTGATTGCCGAAGAATTGATGCTTTTGAATTATGGTGCTGGAGGAGACTCTTGAGAGTCCCATGGACTGCAAGAAGATCAAACCTCTCCATTCTTAAGGAAATCAGCCCTGAGTGCTCACTGAAAGGACAGATCCTAAAGCTGAGGCTCCAATACTTTGGCCACCTCATGAGAAGAGAAGACTCCCTGGGAAAAGACCCTGATGTTGGGAAAGACTGAGGGCACAAGGAGAAGGGGACGACAGAGGACGAGATGGCTGGACAGTGTTCTCGAAGCTACCAGCATGAGTTTGACCAAACTGCGGGAAGCAGTGGAAGACAGGAGTGCCTGGCGTGCTCTGGTCCATGGGGTCACGAAGAGTCGGACACGATTAAACGACTAAACAACAACAACAACAACAACAGATGGTGCTCGCAATATGTAAGGGCCCCCAAATCATTATGCAATCAGCTGCTCACAAATACCTGTACGTCTTCAGGTGATATTTACGGTCTCTTATCATGTGAGGGGCTCGGGAGAGGATGGCGTTCCGTAATACTTTCCCAGCTTGAAGAATTCTTTCTGATGGAACCTGGAGGAGGAGGAGGAGGAGGAAGCAGGCAACAAATATTTTAAGCTTTTCTGTTTTCCTGAAAATACTTTTATGTAACAGTGGTATTTATTGGGGTTTTTTGACAATGCAATGAAGCTTATTAATCTAGGCTTTAATGTCATAATGGGATGTGTAGATTTGCCCCCACGTTTGTAGATCTCCTTGGATCTGCAGGATATAACCAATCCAGGGATCTTCAGCTGCACACGGTGTGTACTTCCTAGTTTCTGCCAAGAGGACTCCGCATTTGCACATGCAAGGACACTGAAATGAATCTGTCCTTTCCACGTGTGTGTAATAGCAGGTCTATGTGTAATAATAATAATAATAATAAATTTTTATTTATACCCCACCCTCCCCAGCCAGGGCCGGGCCCAGGGCAACTAACACCAGTAAAATTACAATAAAAACATAACAGGGGAAAAAATTAAAATACAGTTTAAAATGCAATTTAAAATGCAGCCTCATTTTAAAAGTAGCCCATAGATCAAAACCGTAAGGGGAGGGAAAAATAAGGGACAGACTGAGTCCAAGCCAAAGGCCAGGCAGAACAGCTCTGTCTTGCAGGCCCTGCGGAAAGATGTCAAGTCCCGTAGGGCCCTAGTCACTTGTGACAAAGCGTTCCACCAAGTCAGGACCAGTACTGAAAAGGCCCTGGCCCTAGTTGAGACCAATCTAGCCACCTTATGACTTGGGACCTCCAAAGTGTTGTCATTTGTGGACCTTAAGGTCCTCCGTGGGGCATACCAGGAGAGGCGGTCCTGTAGGTATGTGGGTCCTAGGCTGCATAGGGCTTTAAAGGTCAAAACCAGCACCTTAAATCTGACCCTGTACTCCACCGGGAGCCAGTGCAGTTGGGAAAGCACTGGATGAATGTGATATTGCAGCAAGGAGTAAGGAGCAAGTAAGGAGCCTCGCCGCGGCATTCTGCACCCGCTGGAGTTTCTGGGTCAGCTTCAAAGGCAGCCCCGCGTAGAGCGAGTTACAATAATCAAGCCTGGAAGTGACCGTCGCATGGATCACTGTGGCCAGATCAGGGCGAGAAAGTAAGGGACCAACTGCTTAATACGGCGGAGATGGAAAAATACCACCTTTGCTGTGTGTGTGTCTATCAGAGCGCCTACACCTAAAGCAAACAGAGCAAAATTGGGTTTGAGTGTAGATCGGCTTGGTGCACTTTCTCACTTTTGTCTGTGTTTGTTTACAGTACAATTTCATCAAGTCTGCTTTTTATGTTGTGGTTTTATGTTGTGAACTGCCCTGAGATGAGGGAGCAGCCAGGAAAGCCAATTGCTTGAGCAGAAAGGAGTTCCCCCTGATATTTTATTGATCCAACCAGCTATGTTCTATCTGTAGCCCCTAGTAATTCAAAGGAACTTATCAGTTATGTTGCATTGCAAATAGCACGGCAACAACACTAACAGTGAGGTATTTATTAGATAGTACAGGTGAAAGGGACGCGGGTGGCGCTGTGGGTTAAACCACAGAGCCTAGGACTCGCCGATCAGAAGGTCGGCGGTTCGAATCCCCGCGGCGGGGTGAGCTCCCGTTGCTCAGTCCCTGCTCCTGCCAACCTAGCAGTTCGAAAGCACGTCAAGTGCAAGAGGATAAATAGGTACCGCTCCGGCGGGAAGGTAAACGGCATTTCCGTGTCCTGCTCTGGTTCACCAGAAGCGGCTTAGTCATGCTGGCCACTTGACCCAGAAGCCATACGCCGGCTTCCTCGGCCAGTAAAGCGAGATGAGCACCGCAATCCCAGAGTAGTCTGTGACTGGACCTAATGGTCAGGGTCCCTTTACCTTTACCTTTACAGGTAAAAAAGTAAGTTACATATACTGACAACTTCCCACTTACAAAGGTGTTATATTCTGGGCACTGAACTGTTGCAAAGTCCTCAGGCAAATACTTTACTCTAGAGTATTCACACTTAATGCAGTGAGACAGCATGAAGCTAATTTACTCAGATATATTACAGTCAAAGCATCATTGCGATGGCAGGGTGAGTAATCCAAAGCACTTCAGTTTCTACAGTAACCCAGGACTGCTGTACATCTAAGCTCTTTACCTCTACATTGGCTGTAGCTGGACGGACTGGGATGTGATGATCAATGAAAGGAGTCTGAAAAATAAAATTTAAGTGAAAGAAACAAAGGGGGCAGTGATGAAAGTAAACAAACGTGGAAGTGGATTTTTCAAAAGAAAAAGAAATAAATAAATGAACAGACTAAAACTGAAAATGTTGGAAGTCTGAGAAGATATGAAATATGCAATTTTCCACAGTATCATTTGTCACAATCAAGAATAACTAGGTTCTACATTTAGATGAAAACAGAAAGATGCATAAACAGCTACTGAGTTCAAACATGGCGATGAGATGCAGATGTCAGTAGCAAAAAAAAAGGGGGGGGAGCCCTGTGTAATTGAAAATTCATATGCCAGTTTTTTTGAATAGAAGTTCCGAGTCGCCTTTTCTCAGCCAACTTTGCACATACACTAAAACTATTCCCTAAAACTATCCTGTAACTGTTCAAAAGATTCACACCTTCCCTCTAGGCTTCATACTATGCGAGTGATCCAGCTTTGTACAATTAAATCCCTAAATGGTTTCTCCCTCCAGAGCAGATTTCACACCTTCAGGATGCAAAGCATGTGAGCTAAGGGTGAAATGGGCTAGGCAAGCTGCTTAACCCTTTCCCGTGCTATTTTTTCAGAACAAAACCACAACCCTCCCCAAAGCCCATCTTTTCACCCTTGGGAGGAAAGTTACAGGTACCTTTTGTAAAATCTAATTTGACCCCTGCTTGACAGCTGAAATTGAAGAAACACCTCATCTGAAGAGGAGTAATTCGAACAAAGCTTCTGTTTATCCCTAAAACTGCTAAAATGTGGACTTTTAAAATATTTTTGTGCAATCAGAGCAACCAACATACGTTAGAATGATACACCAGGCATGCATTATTTAGCATTACATAGTGCGCTGCAACTATAAATGCCCTCCACTTTAAGACACATAAAATGGCCCAACCATTACCCAAAATGACACATCGCGGCCAGTGTCAAAAGGAAAGGAATGTTTAGGCGGAATACGGTCTGTGCACAAACACATGCATAAAGATTGGAACACAACTAATGATGTCTTATTTTCCTGTCATTTCCATGCTTCTCTGCTACAGCGTTAACAGCTGCTAAAACAGTTTTGCATGAATTGAATAAAGTGCTCCAAAGATGAAACTCCAGCATATGCTCAGTCCACAGACTGAGGCCCTATTTTTCATAGCCATTCTCAGTGGGAAGATGGAAATGGTTTGCTGGAAGTGTTTTAATGGATAAGAATAATGGATCGTCTTCCCTGTACACCAAATACAGCACGGGTACTTAAATGATTTGTGCTTCCAGAATCAAGACTGCAGAAATCTGCCGAAGATAGGAAGTGGCCGCCTTAGTCAACCACAAAAAGTGTGATATTTGCCTTTTCCCTTTGAGGAGAGCTTTTTCTGTTTGTGCCCTTCAACCAAGGGAACTCCTTCCCTAAGTCAAAGGCCTCTCTTCCCTCAGCTTTTTATAATGGTACAACAGAGGCCTGACCCAAGACATTTTTCTACATGAGGCAAATACAGTCATACCTCATGTTACGTCTGCTTCATGTTATGTTCTTTCAGGTTACGTCCCACAGCGACCCGGAAGTACCGGAAAGGATTACTTCTGGGTTTCGCCGCTCGCGCATGCGCAGAAGCGCAAAATGACATCACACGCATGAACAGAAGCGGCGAATCGCAACCCACGCATGCGCAGACTCGCCACTGGGGGTTGCGTTGTTTTCATGTTGCGAACGGGCCTCCGGAACGGATCCCATTTGCAACCAGAGGTACCACTGTCAAGACAGTGCCCCTGCCATTCTGCATACAGAAGCTGACCACTCTGGTACAGTAGAACCTCGGTTGTCAAACGTAATCCGTTCCGGAAGATCGTCCAACTTCCGAAACATTCGACAACCGGGCCACAATTGCCGGTAGGCAAATTCCTTTTAAAAAACGTGCCTGCCTCGGAAGCCGTTTAACTTCTGAGGCGCATTTTGAAACAGCAACATTCGCTTCCGGGTTGTCGGCGTTTGGGTTCCGAATTGTTCGGCTTCCAAAGCGTTCAACAACTGAGGTTCTACTGTACCTTGGAAGCAGGCTGGTTTATTGCTGCGCAGCACACATTGCTCTGTCCTCAGTGCTACTCATTCACTACTACATCACTTACAATCTGTGTAAGCAAATGGTGCCAGCATTCATCACACATGCACAACGCCCGCTGGAATGGATGGCCTGGGATTCCCACCTCTTTGCTTGTTCACACAGTTGGCAGCTTCTCTCACAAATGTCCTGCGACACACTGGGAGAAGGTGACCAGGCAAGGCAATCCCAGGCAGAAATAAATAAGCGCCGCCGCTGCCAGGGCATGAGGAATGGCATGGCAGGATGTCAATGTTTTCCAAAATGTCTGTTGCCTAGTAGGGTCCATCCTCCTGGGACAAAAAAGACCTTTGTATTCTTCAGGGTTAAAGGGGGTGTTGGCATCCTGTTGCTTGTATGTTGCTATTTAGCTTTTTTTTATTTAAAAAGTTGCTTTGTCGTTTTTATTGCTTTAATTGCAGAGTTGTTAAAAATACCCTACTTATTGTGCGTTTGTATTAGAAACTGCCTTTGGAACGCTCCCAAGGACCATAAAGTGGTATAAACATTTTTTTAAAAAATAAATACATACACTTTTTTCCTCTTGTGGTTTTGATCCATGTCCCTGACCTATTCAGTAGAAAGGGGGTGTTAAGGAGAAGGTGGTTTGCACAGAATGTTCTGTGCTCCCAATTCCTCCTGGCTGTTACAAGAGGGTATGTCTGTTTTCTGTGCTTTCTCCTTTCTTCCCAAAGCCTCCCTCCTCCTTTGATATAAAAAATGAATAATGTAGAGTTGCAAAAGCTGTAAATCTCCACATGCTTGTGTGGCATTTTTGCATCCGTGTTGAAATAATGGGATAATAGCCTGCACACGCCTTGGAAATTCAATAGTTCCCGCTCAGGAGCTGCAATCCTCAAGTGTACTTACCTGGAAAGCGATCCCTGCTAAAATCACTAGGGTTTGCTTCTTGAGCAAACATGATTAGGATCATGTTAAGAATCTGCTCCAAACAAACGTCAGGCAGACAATAAACCATTTTCTCGTTTCTTATTAATCACTGAAATCTTTGCCACCAATCTCCCTTTTCACACATCAAGAACGGCTGCCACAATTGCTGCATGCATTTATTGATTCTTTCATTGGCTTCCTATCATATTTTCACTCTGCAATTCCCAGTTTCCAGAATTACTTGTAGGACGGGTGCTCACAGCACACATTTGTAAGATTCTGCGAGATCTTCCAAGTTTTTTAAATTTCCTTTTTTCAATTTTTCTGCCAAAGTTGAAAGAATAATTGCAAGATTTCGGGATGGGGTGGGGAGGTGTTCATTTAACTGTTTCAAACATAAGTGCCAAATGTGCTGCTCGTATGCGCTCGACTTGTCAGAAGAACTGACCCTTGAAAAGGACAACCCTGTTTCTCACCGTAATTACTTTTTTCCTGACTGCCCAATTGCAAAAACTAATGGAGCGTGTGTGCGTGTCTTTATAGACGGTGATGGAATCACACCGAACATGCGCAAAGGAGCTGGGGCACAAAGCGTATTTCAGACTGTATTTCATCTCACGCTGCAATCCTGTGCCCCCAGGTGATGCAGTCATTTCCTGTGTTCCTGTACTACTACAACTAATAATAATAATAATAATAATAATAATTTATTATTTATACCCCGCCCATCTGGCTGGGTTTCCCTAGCCACTCTGGGCGGCTTCCAACAAGAGATTAAAAATACATTAAAACATCAGTCATTAAAAGCTTCCCTAAACAGGGCTGCCTTCAGATGTCTTTTAAACGTCAGATAGTTGTTAATTTCTTTGACACCTGGTGGGAGGGCGCTCCACAGGGCGAGCGCCACTACCGAGAAGGCCCTCTGCCTGGCCCCCTGTAACCTCACTTCTCGCAGTGAGGGAACCGCCAGAAGGCCCTCAGCACTGGCCCTCAGTGTCTGGGTTGAACGAGGGGGATGGAGATTAAATTATATCCATAATTTAGGCACGAAGTACCTGGTGCTTTGACGCAACCATCCTACGGAATGCCATATAGATCCAACAAACCAGAAGTCTGCCCACTCCTGGCTCTGCGAGATAAATTTAGCAGGTTTACACCATGAAACCAGGAGCTGATCGTTACAGAAATGCTGTATACTCCCACAAGATCTTCCGAGGTTTTACAGTCCTGTATCTTCTTTCCAACATCCTTTCCCTCTGTACCATGGAAGCCTCTTTGCAACATCGGTAACTCTGAACTACTTGTGCTCAGAGAAGGGAGAGTGTGAAACAATAGCGTCACTGCTTACAGACTGGGCTTTCCAACCCCTCAACTTATATAAGAGCAGCTTATGCAAACCTCAATGTGCTTTTGTACTTTATCTTATGTAACTAGTGAACCGATGACAAGTGAAGACCTGCACACATGTCAAGACGGATTTATCATGAACGCATTTGTCACAGACTCCTCCGCACTTTTGTGCCTTGCGAGTTTCACTTTTGTTTTACTTTTCTTTCCTTGCATGTGACGCAACTTCAGACGTTCAGGGTCATCTGCAAAACTTTGGGGTATTTATTAATTGCTCCGAAAGGGGCAGAGATGGGAAAACAATCCGCTGGTAGTGATTTGGATAAATCATGAGACACCATTCTAAATTCCTATCTGCGTGAGATTTGTGTGCTTGAGATAGATGCCTTTCAAGCCTTTGTAACCTAGAGGAGTGACTCCACAGCAAAGGCACTCCATGTGGCTGCATTTGAAGAATGCTTGGAGGACAGCATGCACCATCTCACCTGTTGAGAGAGTGTTTGGATGTAGCAAAGATGCTGGGGGCAATTTAGGAACCAAAAGTGTCTTATCCTTCCTGTCAACATGCTTCTCTATTAGGACTAGGGACAGGCAAATCAAGTTCTCCTTTTTCTAGTCTTAATCTCCATTTTCCACATTCCTAAATTGGTTTGTGAATTTATATTTTAAATGCCCTCATCAGCATTCATCAGCATTCTAGCGCAAATTTCTCCTAATGTACCCTTTTTAAAAAATGCAATTTTGCCTAATATACTTTGCAAACCAATTTCCCCTAATATAATGGAGTTTTTGTATGTCGTTTTCCACCACAAAACTATTCCCTTTATCCTGAGTGGCTGCCCTTTTCTCTCCATTCCTTCTTTAACTGATATACTAAATTATAATCTCAGGTGGTATTGTATAAAAAAGTATACTTATAACACAATCTTAATGCCCATAGGCTCAGTGGAGTTTACTTTCGAGTAAGCTCGCATAGTAACCCTTGTTTTAGAGTGATAATTTTTATTGTTACTCGCCACAATGAAAATTACTATTGGTATGGCGCATCTTATTATAAACTTCACCCAAACTGGTTTGTTTTCAAGCAGGATAAGGATGGGACAGGAAATACCATGTAACAAGACAGGAGGAAAAGCAAATATATGCAGCAATGTCTCTAACGTTATTAAAGGTTAAAAAGATGTGTTAAAAGATCAGTCTCTTTAAGGAAACAGGGCAGACGGACAGGCAGACAGGAAGTAGTGAACCTCAATAAAGAAAGAAAAAAGTGTGGCTGTTTATGGAGCTGGTGAGTAAAGAGTGCCAAAAGTATTCTTCTGAGCAGATCAGACTACGTATTTATTTTAAGAATATGGATTATTTAACCTACAAGAAACAAGCAATACATTCAACCATGCAGAAAAAAGCCTAGTCAACAAAAGGGGGAATGTAATAAAATAAAAATCCAAGCAACACAGATTAACTTGGTTGTTGTTCTATCCCTAGCTGGTAAGTTATACAGAAAAAGGCATTATCAATGTATTTGTGGCTATTTTATGGTGTCGGCTGAATGATTTCAGACTTCTGTCAATCCAAAATAAAAAAGTGGGGCTTTGTTCACAGGATATATGTTTCCCAGAGTGGGTGGGGTATAAATGTTGCTGCTGCTGCTGCTGTTATAGCTGTACCACAACCACTTGATGTACTGAGCACTTTGCTAATGTCATGTTTTGCCATGCTTTTCATCATTAATAACTTAGATCCTATGTAAATGTAACATTAAATAAAGTTGAAGACTTTCCCCTGCAATTTCCTGACTATAAAACAATGTGTGTGTGGTTAATTTGATTTCGATGATAGCTTATTGTTTTAGTTCCAATATATTTTGTATTCTATGTTGCAAACTACTCTGATACTTTTTACGAATGAAAAGTGGCACATAAGTTTTTATGTACAGTGGTACCCCGCAAGACGAATGCCTCGCAAGACGGAAAACCCGCAAGACGAAAGGGTTTTCTGTTTTGGAGGCGCTTCGCAAGACGAATTTCCCTATGGGCTTGCATCGCAAGACGAAAGCCCATAGGGAAATGCTGGCGGTCGGGAGCAAAGACTTTCGCCCACAGCCGGCCTTCAGAAGAGGACCTCTTCTGAAGGCCGGCGGGGGGCAAAAGTCTTTGCTCCCCCCGCCTGCCTTCCCCCTGCCTGCCCGGGGCGAAATTAAAATGCTGGCGGGCGGGAGCGAAGCGTTCGCTGCCGACCCCCTGCATTTTAAAATCTCCCCGTGTCCCGGGGAGGTTTTAAAATGCTGGGGGCCGGGAGCGAAGCGCTGCCGACCCCCTGCATTTTAAAATCTCCCCGTGTCCCGGGGAGGTTTTAAAATGCTGGGGGTCGGGAGCGAAGCGCTGCCGACCCCCAGCATTTTAAAATCTCCCCGTGTCCCGGGGAGGTTTTAAAATGCTGGGGGTCGGGAGCGAAGCGCTGCCGACCCCCTGCATTTTAAAATCTCCCCGTGTCCCGGGGAGGTTTTAAAATGCTGGGGATCGGGAGCGAAGCGCTGCCGACCCCCAGCATTTTAAAATCTCCCCGTGTCCCGGGGAGGTTTTAAAATGCTGGGGGTCGGGAGCGAAGCGCTGCCGACCCCCTGCATTTTAAAATCTCCCCGTGTCCCGGGAAGGTTTTAAAATGCTGGGGGTCGGCAGCCCGACCCCCAGCATTTTAAAATCTTCCCGGGACACGGGGAGATTTTAAAATGCTGGGGGTCGGCAGCGCTTCGCTCCCGACCCCCAGCATTTTAAAACGCTGTTCCGAAGGGGGGGGTGGGGACACCTGCCCCAGCCGCCCCACTTCGGAAAGCTGTTCCGAAGTGGGGAGGGGGGGCGGGGACACCTGCCCCAGCCGCCCCACTTCGGAAAGCTGTTCCGAAGTGGGGCGGGGGGACGGGGACACCTGCCCCAGCCGCCCCACTTCGGAAAGCTGTTCCGAAGTGGGGAGGGGGGGCGGGGACATCTGCCCCAGCCGCCCCACTTCGGAAAGCTGTTCCGAAGTGGGGAGGGGGGGCGGGGACACCTGCCCCAGCCGCCCCACTTCGGAAAGCTGTTCCGAAGTGGGGCGGGGGGACGGGGACACCTGCCCCAGCCGCCCCACTTCGGAAAGCTGTTCCGAAGCGGGGAGGGGGGGCGGGGACACCTGCCCCAGCCGCCCCACTTCGGAAAGCTGTTCCGAAGTGGGGAGGGGGGGCGGGGACACCTGCCCCAGCCGCCCCACTTCGGAAAGCTGTTCCGAAGTGGGGCGGGGGGACGGGGACACCTGCCCCAGCCGCCCCACTTCGGAAAGCTGTTCCGAAGTGGGGAGGGGGGGCGGGGACATCTGCCCCAGCCGCCCCACTTCGGAAAGCTGTTCCGAAGGGGGGAGGGGGGGGCGGGGACATCTGCCCCAGCCGCCCCACTTCGGAAAGCTGTTCCGAAGGGGGGAGGGGGGCGGGGACATCTGCCCCAGCCGCCCCACTTCGGAAAGCTGTTCCGAAGGGGGGAGGGGGGCGGGGACACCTGCCCCAGCCGCCCCACTTCGGAAAGCTGTTCCGAAGCGGGGAGGGGGGGCGGGGACATCTGCCCCAGCCGCCCCACTTCGGAAAGCTGTTCCGAAGTGGGGCGGGGGGACGGGGACACCTGCCCCAGCCGCCCCACTTCGGAAAGCTGTTCCGAAGTGGGGAGGGGGGGCGGGGACATCTGCCCCAGCCGCCCCACTTCGGAAAGCTGTTCCGAAGTGGGGAGGGGGGGCGGGGACACCTGCCCCAGCCGCCCCACTTCGGAAAGCTGTTCCGAAGTGGGGCGGGGGGTCAGAAAGCTGTTCCGAAGCGGGGAGGGGGGGCGGGGACATCTGCCCCAGCCGCCCCACTTCGGAAAGCTGTTCCGAAGGGGGGAGGGGGGGCGGGGACACCTGCCCCAGCCGCCCCACTTCGGAAAGCTGTTCCGAAGCGGGGAGGGGGGGGCGGGGACACCTGCCCCAGCCGCCCCACTTCGGAAAGCTGTTCCGAAGTGGGGAGGGGGGGCGGGGACACCTGCCCCAGCCGCCCCACTTCGGAAAGCTGTTCCCGCATGCCGGCAACTCTCCGCAAGCTGCGGCAGCGCTGCAGCTGCTTGCGGAGAGGTCTGCGAACCCTGGGCGGACATCTTTTGAAGGCAGGGGGGGAGCAAAGACTTTTGCCCCCCCCGCCAGCCTTCAGAAGAGGTCCTGGACCTCTTCTGAAGGCCAGCGGGGGGCAAAAGTCTTTGCTCCCCCCTGCCTGCCTTCCCGGGAGAGCGGAGAAACGCAGCACGTTTCTCCGCTGTCCCGGAGGGCTTTTGAATGCAGGCGGGGGGAGCAAAGACTTTCGCCCCCCCCCCAGCCTTCAGAAGAGGTCGGGGGACAGACTGTCCCCGGACCTGGTCTGAAGGCGGTTTCCCTAGGAACGCATTAATTGATTTTCAATGCATTCCTATGGGAAACCGTGCATCGCAAGACGAAAAACTCGCAAGACGAAGAGACTTGCGGAACGAATTAATTTCGTCTTGCGAGGCACCACTGTAAATACAAATACATGGAGCAGTAGTATGCTCGCGTGTTCTCATCCTCTGTTCCCACTCCACTCCAGGCAACATCTGAAATTTCTTCTCACATACTTAGGCCAGATTATGTGGTAACATACAATCATGTGTCGCTTGCCATAGTAGGAGATACATCAATAGTATGACCCATAATCTGACAATATGCCATTTGGGCGGTAATTACAGCTATCACTGGGAGTGGTGCAGGAACCATTGTGGCATGGAAACAGCGGGGTTGCTCCATAAAGCTAAATGGAGCCTAAAGCTATATGCTTTTTGGGCAAAGAAGGGGATTTTACATTGCTTATTTCTGTAGAATTTCGTTTACTAGTTTCTGATTTTCTGAATAAAATAAATCTTAAATTAATTCAATTTGTTTTTTCCCACTTGCAAAATCTAAATGTCTTGGGGTGATATACTATTAGTGCCAAGTGTATAAGCAAATTGCCTGCCTTTCACAACCGTTTTCTTTGCTATCTTACTTTTTCCCTAACTTGTGGTGTATAAACTCAACAGAACTTTGCTAACAGAAATGGCCCAATGAACAATACTGGCAAACCGCTTCATTTTTAATATCAGTTGCAATGACACTTTCTGCTGTGATTAGCCATCATAGAAGCAATATAGAACCCAGGCTTAGTAAAGTATATTCAGTTTCATAAGCATCTACATTTTTTTGACAACTGAAGCACCTGTGTTTTATTAATGTTTCCACACACAAAAGTTAATTTAGGGTGCAATCTTACATTTATCGTAAGGCCAGCTGAGGGGACTTATGCACCCAGCTCTTCCATCTGTGGTCGGGAGAATCCAAGCATGTCAGAGGTGCGGTATCGGGGCAGGACTGATACAAAGCCCCTTTGTATCACCAGCACACACAACAAAAATAGCTCAAGCCGTGTTATTTTCCTCTATTGCAGCCAATGGGAGGAAAGAAGAAAAGACCCATCTTGGCCACTGAGAAACAGCTGGGCACAAAATGTGGTGCCCGTTCCCCCCAGCCTTGCTTGCGAAGAAGAATTGCTTTGCCCATGTACCAATATGTTGCTGTTTACAGGCAAAATGAAGAAGAAAAATTATTTACCTTATTGCAGTTTTTAGAGATTGAGCACAGACTACTACTTGACATGTTATCCTTGTCGGGCATTCCTGTAAGAAAACAGTAGACGCATCAGAACAATATGTCTGAGAATTAAATGTTGCTCTTCAAATGGGATGGTTCTTTCCCCTTACATCAGTCACAGCAGACTTTGGTTTTTCAAATTTCGGCAGCGCTTGAGGGCAAAATCTGGCACCCACCCAACCTCCCATTCTGCTTGGCGCCAAGGCAGCGGAACCAGCCACGCTGCCCTAAAATTCACCTCTGACACCAGGGATCGCCTGACATAAAGATCGCCATTGTTCCCATTTTACAGATACTTTTGCTGAGGTACTTACTGTCATTGTTGGAGCCAGTTTCCATAACACCATAAGGAGGAGCCAGAAGTCCTGACATGTACTGTCGGTATTTCTGAGGGGAGGGGAAACGGTTGAAACGTCACTTTGCTGAAAGTTATCCACACCAAATTTTTAAAAATGAGATAAAGCCTAAAAATAAAATTCCTGGGGCTACACATGAAATGTAATTGTGGTTTAAAATCCTTCGGCCATATTTTAGGATTCTTTCTCCCCCTGTATTTTCTTATGTTGTACACTGCCCTAAGCTCTATTTTAGGTGAGTAAAGTTCTACTCCCAGCTAGAGTTCATTTCCCCCATTTTTCTCCCAGAGCAAACAGCAAGAATCAGCGCATTGTGTCCGAAGGAGGATGTATGCTGGTGTACAGTGGTACCTCGGGTTACGAACTTAATTCATTCTGGAGGTCCGTTCTTAACCTGAAACTGTTCTTAACCTGAGGTACCACTTTAGCTAATGGGCCTCCCGTCCCCGCCGCATGATTTCTGTTCTCATCCTGAAGCAAAGTTCTTAACCTGAGGTACTATTTCTGGGTTAATGGAGTCTGTAATCTGAAGCGCCTGTAACCTGAAGCACCTGTAACCTGAGGTACCACTGTATAACACTGCACTATGACACTGTTTATGTTACTTTAACCTGTTTGTGTGGCTGTCTGTGGCTGCGGGTGCCTGTTCTAAGTCTATCTGTACTTACTTGCAAGTGCCGTTCTCCATGTGTGTGTCCCTGGTATTTTATGTTCCTGGAAGTGTGTGCGTTTGTGTCTGCCTGTACGTGTGCCTGCAGTAGTGTATGAGAGAGTCTGCCCACATCCAACACCCTGTCATAACACCTGCTGGATTGCTGTTGCTGTTTAATCTTTCATGCTTGCAAAAAATGTTACGAAAACTCCGTTCTATTTGTTTGTTCCTTTGCTTGGCCCTATTTTCGGCATCCCAATCCACTTTCCTCATCCTCCCTTTGCTTAGAACCTATGAAAACATCATGACATTCACATCCCAAGCAAATTGGAGCGGCACATACAGGTGTCACTTGTGGAAAGCCTGCTTAAAATTAAACTGGTCATAACCTTAGCACTACGGGACGCGGGTGGCGCTGTGGGTTAAACCACACAGCCTAGGACTTGCCAGTCAGAAGGTTGGCGGTTCGAATCCCCGCGACGGGGTGAGCTCCCGTTGCTCAGTCCCCGCTCCTGCCAACCTAGCAGTTCGAAAGCACGTCAAAGTGCAAGTAGATAAATAGGTACCGCTCTGGCAGGAAGGTAAACGGCGTTTCCATGCGCTGCTCTGCTTTGCCAGAAGCGGCTTAGTCATGCTGGCCACCTGACCCGAAAGCGGTACACCGGCTCCCTCAGCCAATAAAGCGAGATGAGCGCCACAACCCCAGAGTCGGCCACGGCTGGACCTAATGGTCAGGGGTCCCTTTACCTTTACTTTAACCTTAGCACTAGTCTGGTCATAGTGAACTCGTGCGAATGTGCAAAAGGGTTTTCTAGACTGTGTAGGCTAGTCCCACCTCCTACATGATGCGCTGTCGACTCTCCTGTGTTGTTGGATTAGCACAAATTGAAGGGCTCCCAACATGGGGGTGAGAACTCTACGTAATCCAGATGCTGTTCCCCAGAGTACTGGTTGAAATACATCGCATTTCTATTTGTTCATGTTTCCAGACAAAATGTACAGTCGTACCTTGAACAGAATCCGTTCCAGAAGTCCGTTCGACTTCCAAAACGTTCAGAAACCAAAGAACAGCATCTGATTGGCTGCAGGAAGTTCCTGCAACCAATCAGAAGCCCTGTTGGATGTTCAGGTTCCAAAGACCATTCGCAAAGCGGAGCAATCACTTCCGGCTTTGCTGCGTTCGGGAGCCAAAACGTCTGAGTACCAAGGCGTTCGGGATCCAAGGTACAACTGTATTTGCTCAAGTTGGAGACATGATTTTCAACTCTTCCCGCTTCCCCACGGCTCATGATATAAACAGACAACTCAGTTAGCATCAGTATTTAGTGACACAGGCAGCTCACAGAAAAGCTTCTCAGAACTCAGTATTGATGTGATGTACAGTAAATCACAATCATTTGTAACTGGTATTCTCTCATTGATGCCCCATGCCACTGAAGGCAAATACAGTGCAGACATGATCAATAAACCATCAGGCTTATGTAACTTTCTGTCTAACGTTTTAAGTGATATCCCACTAACATGGGAAACAAAAAACAGTGTGCAACAAAACCAACCAAGGTTCTTTTTTAACATAAATCCATAGGCACTTACACCAAAGCATTGTGAGTCATATCTCCTTGTGGTTATATTGATGAGCTCACAATCTAATCCCGTTTAGAATGGGTCCACAAGACATCTCTGTTAAAGAAGGAACTAGGAATCATTCTGTATTATTCTTTCCCCACACTCTTTTTCATTTGGCACTATAAAGAGTTATTTTTGGATCGTTGGCTAACTGATATTCATGTCAACTTCAACATGCATGTTTGAGAACATCTCATTCATAACACCATTCTAATGAAAAAATCATCATCCTCTGAACCTAATAATAATAATAATAATAATAATAATAATAATATATTTATATGCCGCCCATCTGACTGCGTTGCCCCAGCCACTCTAGGCGACTCCCAAGAAAATATTAAAAACACAGTAAAATAGTAAAACATCAGCCATTAAAAACTTCCCTGAACAGGGCTGCCTTCAGATGTCTTCTAAAAGTGAGATAGTTGTTTATTTCCTTGACATCTGATGGAGGGCGTTCCACAGGGTGGGTGCCACTACCGAGAAGGCCCTCTGCCTGGTTCCCCGTAGCTTCACTTCTAGCAGTCAGGGAACCGCCAGAAGGCCCTCACTGTCCAGGCTGAACAATGGGGGTGGAGACGCTCCTTCAGGTATACAGGGCCGAGGCCATTTAGGGCTTTAAAGGTCAACACCAACACTTTGAATTGTGCTCAGAAACATACTGGGAGCCCGTGTAAATCTTTTAGGATGCATGCAAACAGGCTGCAATTGAGTTTCTCATGTGTGTGATGTCTTCAGCGCTGGAGTGAAAACCCCAGACATTTAATAACCCAGCTTGCAGAGATGATCCTGGCCCTGGACTCAGAGACGGGAAAGCTCAGCGGCTGACTGCATATAATGCACCCACCACTCGACTCTTGGAGCTCCCACATCTTCCATATTGGGGAGGACCACTTACTGTCAACTCTGGCTTCACTAGAAGAAGTGGTCAGGACTATTACTGGTCGCATTGTACATTATAGCATATGTATCCATGTTTGTTAACTGATGTGGTTAACCTTTTTTTAAAAAAAAACTTAGACTGAGTTTTAGCACACAAGAAATACTTAAAACAAATGCTTATTTTTTGATGAATAGCCTTTGGACTATAGTGGTACCTTGGGTTGGGAACTTAATTCGTTCTGGAGGTCCGTTCTTAACCTGAAACTGTTCTTAACCTGAGGTACCACTTTAGCTAATGGAGCCTCCTGCTGCCGCCGCGCGATTTCTGTTCTCATCCTGAGGTAAAGTTCTTAATCTGAGGTACTATTTCTGGGTTATCGGAGTCTGTAACCTGAAGCATCTGTAACCTGAGGTACCACTGTATAATGTAACTTAAACAGAAAGCTATCTATAGAAAGATTTTTCTTCCAAAAGCATTTTATTTAAAAAAAACTGATTTAAATTTTTAAAATCCATTTTTTTTTATTTAAAAAAAATAATCATTGATTTTTATCCACCCTGGTTTTAGGCTTACTTGCTGATGCTCTCCCCAGCATAACATAGAATCGTAGCGTTAGAAGGAACCCTGAGGATCATTTAGTCCAACCCCAGGAATATGCAGCTGTCCCATGTGGCGATCAAACCTGCAACCTTGACATTATCAGCACCACTCTCTAAGCAACTGATCTATCCAGGCTGAGATGTGACGCAATCTCTTTCCAAGTCAAACGCTGAGCTGTACAGTGAAGCACTGCTTCTGTTTGCTGTTTGAACTTCTGGAGGTCCTTCGTTTGGTCTCTTTGCTCTTCCCCTAACCCATCAACAAAGTACATGAAGACTGAAGCACTTTCTGACGCTTTTCTAATAAACTTTTGCCTAACAGCAAAAAGAGGAGAAGGAGTAAGAGTATTCTAGGTTCACTTTATTGATGTTATTTTTCCAAACTAAGACAGCTTACACTGTTCCTATCACTGTAAATATCTTTTTTAATGTTTTGACTGGGTTATAATTGATTTTACCTTATTGATCCAAACTGGAGTTCAGTAAAACACCTAAATATTTTACAAGCTTACTATTCCATTTAACCCTCCAAAGTCCCATTATAGCTTTTTTTTCATGATTACTCAAAATATATAAACCGTGCTTTGCCAGCATTAATTTCAAAGCTGAATGTCTGTCCAAACTCATGCATAAACGCTTTTGGATGAGGACCATGTTGGGGGGTGCAAACAATTAAAGTCCCTTCCCCTCATAATCCAGCTCTCCATCCCTAACCACTGGTTAAAGCAAAAAAACAAAGTTTGCATTGACAAGTGTATCCCTCAGTAGCCCAGCTTGAATATGACATCCTCTGCATGAGAGCCAATTTTGACTCCTCCTCTATCTTGCAAAATGCCTAGGGATGAGTAACCTGTCAATTTTGGGTTCTCTCGCTTGCGCTTCAAGACCCCCAAGCCAGCCCCATAAGGACACAAGGACACAGAATTTCAGCTAATGTTAATGGGCAAAATTTAGGCCACAACTTTATTGGTTACAGAATGTGAGCGGTATTGGCTTAGGCACAGGCATCAAGACTGTATATGACTCCTGCCCACTTTGCAGGAAGTCTGGAAGGGTAAACCACCAGTAGGGGGAGCCCCGCTGATGCAGATCAACCCCCTGGGTTCCCGCTGGGGTCGTGGCATGGCCCTAGCCCCTCCACGGGCTTCGGATGAGATCCACACCCCTGGATTCCTTTAACAGAATACCCTTACGCATGGAGAGGCAGGGGATAGCCGCCCCTCCCCTCCCCAAAGCTCGCCGCCAATACCCTCACACCTGCAACCCTCCTC